CAGTTGTAGTTTTCTCATCAGAAGAAAATGCTGACCTATCGTGAAATCGACTACATGTACCTCACCCTGGTTCACTCCTGAACTTCAGATGATGAAAACTGAGGGTCGCCGCCTAGAAAGACTATACAGGAAAACTGGACTCATTGTGCACTCTTTTGCTCTTGAAGAACACCTGCTCAACTACCGGACCGCCCTTAGCAATGCAAGATCCTCTTATTTCTCCTCTACTATTAGGAATTCCACGTGCAGACCCAAATCACTCTTTGCTATGGTTAACAAACTTACAAATCCACCACAACATGTTATGTCAGGATCTGTGGAGCTTGTAAATGGCTTCTCTAAATTCTTTTCAGACAAATTGATGTCAATCACTTCTTCCATCACCAAAAACATGCATACAAGTTACTCAAACTTAATATCTGGTCCAGCCCACTCATCAAACCCTCTCTCTACTTTTACTCGGACTATTCCTGTTGCCAGAGGTGACCTAATCATGAAGTCAAATTCTACATTCTGCCGGCTCTATCCTACACCTACTGTTCTACTTAAGACTCTTAATTCATGCATTAATCGCATCACGTCTGGATTATTGCAATGCTTTATTTCTTGGCATTCCCAAAAAACTTATTGCAAGATTACAGTACGTCCAAAACTCAGCACTCTAGAAAAGGAAATTTTACCATTGCTGAGTGAGGGCACTGGTGCAGCTGATGGAGTCTGGACAATGGGCAGTGGTGCAGGTAGCTGGTTCTACATCTGGTACAGATCAGTGTCTTTCACCAGGTTGTAGTATGACAATATCTAACACCTGTCGGACTCTCCTGTGCAGCGGTTCTCAAACTGGGGGCCCACTAGATGGCGCTAGGGGGGCCGCAAAGAAATTCTAGAATATGAAATTATTTAAAAAAAATTATTTTACCTGTATGTAAGTTTGGATTGTCCTATGTGAAATCTGCATTGCATGATTTCTTTTATATTGTAAAACTCGTATAAAATTGTATGTCTTCTATATTGAAAAAGTATTTCTTTAAGTAGAGTAGAATTTTTTTTTTGTTTCTTGCTGAAAAAACAGATTGCTGTTCAAATTTGCAAACCAAACTTGAGCCACTGTCATTTACTACCTTAAAATGTAAGAAGTTTAATGCACTTTTTTACAATCAGCAAATTAATTTTTCAGTGTTCATCTTTTACTATGAACATCACAAATGTTCAGTATTCAATACTTTTGTTGCAATTTTCAGACAATATTACTGTTAACTGTCAAAACCATTTTTTATAAAAAAAAAATGTTATATTTAATGAAATGTACAATTTAACAAATTTTGTATATTCAAAGACATAAAGCTAAAACAGAACTGTTGTTCCAGCATTGTACAAATTCATTTGTTTTTGGTACAATCTAAAATTTGTAAGTAAAATTGTACATTTGAGGATGTTTTCGTTATGAGTTTTCTTTTGGGGGGCCACAAAAGGATTCACCCTACACAAGGGGGCCTCCTCCTGAAAAAGTTTGAGAACCACTGGACTAGACCACCACCACACAGCTGATGCCTGTGGCACAGACTGGGTTAGAACACTGGAGCCACACCTTCCATAGCCTTTATGGCATCCAGAGCGAGAGCCGCTGTGAAAAAAATCTATCAGGTGCTGGAGCTTGGTAGTACCACAACAGGGCGTACCACAACTGCAGGTTTTCATGCAGACACAACTCAAACCATGTCCTTTGCACCAACCCTAAAAAGTGCTTCCGACACCCACTTCTGGTCCTGCTGTGGCATTGTCTGTGGCCACATTAGTGGGAGATCTGCAGTGTCTTCTGGCTGAGGTAAGACATGCTGATATTATCAAAAACACTGGTTTAGATAAAAGTTAAGAGAGCATTAAATGACAAAGGCATGTTTATATTTTGAATGACATCTTATTGGACTCCTTACAACAGCAAACTCCGAATTAGTCAATGGTGTTACTGTCTCTTTGGTGCGTTGTGATCTCTGATCTAGGAAAAAGGAAGAGGAGGACTTGATGACAAGCTGATGAGGTTTGGGGGATGGAGGAAGAGGATCAGAGGGTGGGCATGAAGCTGAAATGGAGTGCTCTAATGTCTGTGGAGTCAAACGTTAGATAGATTAATAGATTAGTCAAACGTTAGATAGATCATATGGGCCAGTTGTTCAAAACATTTAATCTGGATCAAAATGATCCGGATTTGGAAATCCCATTTTTTTCAGACAAAGGCATTAAAACCATATGTAACTAAGATTATTTAATGAACCCTTCACATTTTTATAATCATCGCTTTGTCTCCTGTTTTCTGCTGTTAGCTGGCTTTCTCAGTAAATCTCTAAGGCCGATTCAAGAGCTGTTCATACAGTTTTGGGGTACTAGAATAAAATCCTGATTTGGCACCAGACAAGTTTAGATGGATATCTTCTGCTGGGGTCTGGTAAAGAGATCCAATATTCCTGTTCCCTTTCCAAATGTCATTCCGGTGTCATTTTATGCTGTTCAATTGTTTACCCAACAGCTATTGCAATACGGTGATGCTAGAATTTTAATTTGGAGGACATTTACTGTGTGATAGATTGTAGATGTCATTTTTTAAGCCAATTATAATAGATTTCACGTGAGAAACATCTTTTAAAGTAATTAGTAATACACATTCTGCAAATAAAGACTGGCAATTTGTGAGCACACATTTGTTTACTTGCCTTGAAAACCTACATCCTTTGAGCCTTTGCTGACCTTTCACCTCTGCCCCACAACAGTAGAGGAGCTCATTAACCCAATAACAATGGCAAATGTATTCCTGTACATGAGGTTTTTAGATAAAATATTCAAATGGGGTCAATGGACACCCTTGCCTAAAATAAATCTCAGTAAAACCCAGAGAATCTTTAGAATTATCAGTACATGAAGTGCATTTCTCTTGTAAAGAGAATGACTCAAAAACATTCAGATGAAAATGTTTCGCTGCTTTTTTCCCTTGTGTCATAAAAGAATGCTGAAAACCAGTAAGCTATAAAACTTCTGTTTGTCTTTCCCAGAAGAGCTCATGGTGAGAGATGTGAGTTAAGAAGAGTGTCCTGGAGTGTCACCACAGGGTCTACAAGCTGGAATTCAACCCACGTCTGTGAATGCAATTATCAGCAAACAAGGCATTCTGATGAAGGCTTTTAATGAAGCACATAAACCTCAATGTGCAGAGAACATCTGTGGTGTAAGTGAATAACAATAGAAAAAAAGGTGAGACATGTATATATATTTAAATATATCTATATACTGTATATGGTCATGCAAGAGAAAACATTTGAAGAGTTCAGATGCAAAAACCTCTAAGTGCCATTTGAAATTTTCTTCTAGAATGATCTTTTTTTTTTTTTATCAAGCTTGTATATTTAAGTTCAGTGATTTCACTTAAATGGCAATGATAATTACCTATTAATTGTTATTTAAGTGAAATTACTGAACTTAAATATACAAGTTTGATAAAAATCATCATTAAAGAAGAAAATTTCAAATGGCATTTAGAGGCTTTTGCATCTAAACTCTTCATTTATAGTTCATCTATAATATTTGCTTAGATAAATGTGGGGTGGGGTTGGGAATACAAAGCAAAATCATTTTTGAGAACATTAAGAATTTGATTTACTAATTACTACTACTACTACTAATAGCTTACCGTAATTAAACTAAAGCCAAATATGTCTGCATCAACTGAATTTATGTTTCTCATGGCCTTAAAAATCATTTGGTATATTTAAACGTTTCAAATCTGTTTTGCAGATGAATGTACATTAAGTCTTCTTTTGAATGTCATTGTTTTTTGTAAATACACTGAATAGTAAGAGAAGCAGCCAAAAAGTGTTGTGTTATTATTATTATTATTATCATTCAAATAAATAGTATTAGTAATGATGAAGCATGGTGTTTCCAAACATTTGATTTGTAGTTTTAAATAATTTTTCTGGTTCAGTTTATTTGGCAACATTTGTGTTATATTATTACTAATTTACTAATTTACTAATTACTAATAACAACAGCTTACCGTAATTAAACTAATAATAATTAAACTAAAGCAAATATGTCTTCATCCACTGAATTTATGTTTCTCATGGCCTTAAAAATCATTTGATTTATTTAAATGTTTGAAATCTGTTTTGCAGATGAATGTACATTATGCTTTCTTTTTAATTTCATCGCAAAACAGTTTTTTTTGTTAATATGCCAAACAGTACAAGAGAAGCATTTTCTCATTAGACTCACCCTTACGAAAAAGAAGTATATTTCAAGTTCATTTTATGTAGTATACTTAAGTAATGTTCAAGCATATTTTAAGTATACATTATGTAGTAAGTATACTAATGTCACTATGTACTAGCAGTAAACTTGTAAGTGTACTATTTTAATACCGCTTGGGACTAAATTGGCCCACTTTTAGTACATAAAAGTATATGTTTAAGTGTACTATAAGTGTAACAGTAAGTGCACAACTAGTTCATTTTTATGTGTCTCATGTGTACTGCAAGTGAATTTATGGGTAGTTTACTTTTTTACTGTAATACTTATACAAGTATACTTTGAATACTTAATTATACTTTTAAGTATTTCTGGATCAAAAGATTGAGTACAAGAACAGGACAAATATACTTGCTTTTCTCTCAGTATAAGTCAAGTACACTTAAGTGTAATTTGAAGTATATTTCTGAGAAGTACAGGAAAAATAAACTGAAAGTATACTTTCTTATTTTTAGTTTAAAAGAAGTATAGGCCTACTAATGGCACACTTGAATAAACTTCTTTTTCGTAAGGGTCAGAAAACAAGTAGGCTAACTTTTGATCGAGAGAGAGGAGAGTGTGTGAGAGACAGAGTGTGTGAGACTCAAATCCAAGTATTTTTTTTCACCTGCTTTACACGTGAACCTTGGAATGGAATGAAAGGTGTCTGTGAAGAACCAGACTGCAGATGACGTCAGAGACTGGTATAAAAGCAGAGTAGACACAGACACACACACACACAGACCTGCTGCCCTCCTCACACACAGGCACTGAACATGCTGTGGACTCTCTTGTTCAGCTGCAGCTTTTATCTGCACAGCCATCTGGTTTCGGCTCAAGGAATATCCAGAGGTGAGTTGACTTTCTTCAAAAAATGTATATTTTTGTTTTATCTTAAAGTCTTAGACGGATATCTATAGAGTACACTGCAAGATTATTTCGGAGAGTTATTTATAATAATGTAAACTTTTTAGTTAAGTTTTATTATATATATATATATATATATATATATATATATTTTTATAAAGCTCCTACAAGGGTTTATGCTAAGAATCTTTATATGTTTGCCAAGTAACAGAACCTATTATGTGGTTTTGGTGCTTTAATAACATATATAAAGCTGAATAGAACATTTCCATTCCAAGTTGCAAGATAAAGATCAACATTTTAAGTGGCCCACCAGTCAGGATGAAAAACTGATAAGTTGAGCTTATGGAATCCTGGAATGCATATGGAAAACACTGATGCCGCTAATGGAAAGAGCACACTTCCCTTCTGTTTGTCTGGACTGCTCTCTGGGGAGGGGAACCTCTGACACAAGCCCCTCCTCCTAGTTTGTATCTTCGAATTTTATTGACTTATTTCTTTTTATTTACCATGTTTTTAAATTTACCGGAATCATCAATGGAGAAAAGCTTACAGGACCCTGACCCCACATCTAGAGCTGAGAAAGCAATGGTCTCAGGTTGATTTGACCCTTCTAGTGTTGATGCTCCTGTGGCTCATAAAATCCAGCCTCATAAATCAAAACTGCAACAGTTTATCTCCTGTCATAACAACATGTTCACCCATGAGATTAATCAAAATGACGCATGATATTTGGGTTATATGTTATGGTCATGCTGAAACACGGAAAGCAGGATCCACCATTAGGCAACAAACTTAGCAAACACACAGCATAAACTCTCAAAATGTGTGTGAGACACAGATGTAGTCCTTGGCAAATTACTGTAATACAGTTCCTGACTGCTGAAAAATCATCCACAGGGCCTGCAGGAAAAGCCATTATATTTTGAGCGGGGCCTTACAAGCATTAATCATCAAACTGTCCTGTTAGTTTACTTAGGATTCAAAGGGACATTTCACCCAAAAATGAATATGAACTTTTACACACCCTCGTTCTAAACCTGTCTGTCTTTAGAAGAAAGACATTTAGCATAATATTTAATGAGCTCAAAAAAATATAATCATTATAATTAAAGGGATACTTCAGGATTTAGCAGTAAGCTTCGTATTAGTAGAAAACCTGTAGTATTTTCAAATGATCGTGCTTTCCACCCTCATATCCCCCTGAGACGAGAGATTTGTGTAGTTTTTGTCTGGAAAATATCCTCCGATGTCGCAACTATCGTCATTTTGCGTCATCAGAGGATTTTTTGGCCTGAGGCTAAAAACTGCAGTCAGTAGTCGGGTCTGTCCTGCATGTTCTCAACTCGCCCATAGAGGGCGATCTCACTCACAGAATGAACACATAGTGTCAGCCATCTTTTTTTAGAAGCTAAGCTAGCAGGCTCTTGTTCTGTGGAGAAAGTTGAGTAGTAGGGGTTACCGTCCTCTTTTTCCCGGACCGTCGATGTCCGGGATTCAGCTTTTGCTTTCTGCAGTCGCCATTCATTGTTTACATGCACAGCTTTTGTTTCAATCTAACTGAATTCATTTTCGAATTGGTGAATCTGAATGTAGTGTTTACATGAACGCCAAACAAGTGATCGGTTGATGTGCGTTTTAACATTGCTAAGAAAATTCCCGCTCCTCTGTGAGAGATACGAGACCGGGGCGACTTACGGGTGTCGCTCATCGGTAAATCACGCCACCGGCCTCGCGCCGTTCTCCCGCGGCCCTCACTCGTCCTGCTCGCCACAGTAAACATAATGAATGGCGACTGTACAACGCAAAAGCCGAATCCCGGACATTTTGGGTGATCTCGAAACACATTTTCGGGCAGACTCATCACGGAGACTTGTTGTTTAACGACTGCGTGGCCTCCAAGGGCAGCGAAGCATGTGCATTCTGGGAGTTGTTGTCTGTTTCATCCACATAAGCCAAAAATACATTTTCTGGCTTTTCTCAGTCTAGAAAGCTCCAAATTCAAAAGTAATTTCACATTTCTTCTACATAAATAACTCATTTTAAATACACATTCATCTTTCTAGAGGTATCATTTTAACTATAAAAGTACCATGTTTCATGGTTTATTGTAAGCTATTAGATACATACTTGTGTGAACAGAAAGAAACTTAATACATAATGTTTGGTTTGGAAACACGAAGGTTCCAAACCAAGAATACTAAATCATCTTTCTCTGCAGATGGTGAGATTATCAAACAGATTAAAGGCACAAACCAGGAGCTTGCTGAAATCAAAGAACTACTGAAGCAACAGGTAATTCAGAAACCAAACCAAATGGGCTCTTCAATCATTTCCTTAAGTATGTCATTGCAAATTCTCAGGGTAAATTCTCATCCAATAACAATCTTTATTTAAACCTACCTGGTACTCCTCATTTGGGAGTTAATACAATTCATTTAGTATTTCAAGTTAAAATATAGACATTTAAAATCCAATTTTTGAAGGCAGATTAGTGCCATCTGGTGAAGGTAAAGAAAGAAAATATAGGCTTAATACCATGTAATTCACAAACAGTTCTCCATAGAGAGGCTTTTTGAAGTGTGACCACTTAGCTTTTTCAAATCATGCTCTCAAAAAAATATTATTTTTTTTGTGTTCATATACCAAGTGCCATAAAAGTTTCCATGTTTCACACCATTCCGCTGAAGCTACGATTTTTTTAATTTTCAAAATGTTTGGTTACAAAAGCACCAGAGGATATAATGACAGCATGCTGTGAGAAAGTCAAATATCGTGATGTAAATGTTTATATCTTATCTATATCTGGAGAGAATTCCCTTGTTGGAATGTATACCACTTATATCCCTTGTATACCACAGAGCTGTAGAACACACACAGAGACACCCCCCCCCCCCCCCCCCCACACACACACACACCAGCTGTGCATTTTTTTAAATATATATATTTCAACAGCCTGTATATATATTTCAATGACTTATTTATTGTATAAATGAGCAATCTATTCCTGGAGATACAAATGGTACAACAAGAAAATTAATGCAATATTTTGAACAAAGATATGAAAATGTGTTAGAACCGATACATAAATATATTTGGTAATACTTCACAATACAGGGGCACTAACTATAATGCACAGGACTCATGAAGAACTAAGATTAATAGATTAAGCAATATATACTATTAATTAAACGTGTCATTATGTATTCATCAATAAATACGGTAGTATTAACTAATAGTGTACATGAATGTGTTAATTGTCTGAATGTGTAGTGTCCAGATGTCTGCTTTAATTAATCATTAGATAATAATTTCCAAAGGTATCATCATGTTATGATTTTACTTGTTGATAATTATATGATATATTTTTAACAACATTCCTGCCTATTAAGGTTAATTATAGATTAACCTTATAATTAACCTTATATTAGGTTAGGTTAACCTTAACCTAACCTAAGTTAATTCACATTTTAGTTCTTATACATTATTACATAACACTGACAAATGAACAATTTGTTTTATAGATACAAGAAATAGTTTTCCTGAAGAACACGGTTATGGAGTGTGAAGCCTGCGGTGAGGAGTTCTAAGCTTATCAGTGCATCAGATTAATAATCAAGATTGTAACCGCTAATTATTGGATATTGATTCTCTCTTGTAGGCATGAGAGCAGTAGATCCACAGCCTTCATGTGTTCCCAACCCCTGCCACCCTGGTGTGGAATGCATTATGACACCTAGTGGCATCAAGTGTGGCCTGTGCCCGGAGGGCATGACAGGAAATGGAACTCACTGTACTGACGTTGATGAGGTGAGTGGGCGGCCTGAGCTGAAATGAAGTGAGTACCCAAACTCATTCTCAGAAGTGTGGACTCTGGAGGGAGCAAGGAAATTGTGTCTTATGGAACACTGCTGAACACTGCTTTTCCTTATTTGCAGTTGTTGCAAATAAATATACAGTCATAATTAAGTTTTAAAATATGCTTTGTGTGTATGTATGTGCGTGTGTGTGTGTGTTCCTCCCTCTCTGCTCTCTTCATAAAACTTGCCGTCTCTTATTAGGATCGTGCGGGGAGTCATTTTTACCGAATGTATCTAAAAAAAATAAAATAATAAAAAAACGAATTTAAATTGCATGTGAAATGCATGACAATGTTATTATCTAAAACTAAACAATAAAACTGTTTCTCAAAATAAAATAAAGGCTAACTGAAATAAAATAAATATACAAAATGTTAATTAATTTCATTTCAGCTAGATGTCAAAGCATTTGTCATTTTCATGTAGTTCATCTTGATGTACTAAAATAACTAAAACTGAAAAAAAAAATAAATAATAATTTGGTTCCACACTCTAAAAAATGCTGGGTTGTTTCAACCCAAATTTGGGTCAAATGTGGACAAACCCTAATGTTGGGTTAAAAATGTAATACAAAAAAAATTACAGTTGAAAGTGAAAGTTGAAGTTGGGTTAAAATTTTTAACCCAAAATTTGGGTTTGTCCATATTTGACCCAAAGTTGGGTTAAAACAATTAGCATTTTTAGAGTGCACTTTATATCGATAATCCACTTTAGACATTCTACTAACTATAAGTAACTTGTCAACTACTTGTCAACTAACTCTCATTAGAGTATTAGTACACTGTAAAACAAAATATTTTCATGATTTGTTATCACAACATTTTTTTTCTTTTGTCAAATCAACTTAGATAATTTAAGTAGTTCAGATAACATAATATTTTGAGTTTCTGATGATTAAATTAATCTCCTTGATTGTATTAACTCAATTTTTCCATTTCAGTGAACTTAAAATTTTAAGGCAACCAAGTTACTTATTTTTTTAAGCTTAACCAACAATATTTTTTTACAGTGTAGACTGTGACTAGTTAGTGTCAAAGTTACTTATTGTCAGTGGCATGTCTGTTGGGGGATCAACAAAATAAAGTGATGGCATATTAAGCAGACAGTCTACTAATACTCTAATGACAGTTAGTTGACATGTAGTTGCAAACTTACTTATAGTTTGTAGAATGTCTAAAATGGACTATGCGTGTTACCGACATCAAGTAACCAATAAAATGACAAAACCATCAATAATTCAAACTTGACCTAAAACTAAAATGAAATAAAATGTATTAATTCATGTCACAGCAAAACAAAACAAAAAACTGATGCAACTTATTTTATTATATTTATTCACAATGCTCTTGCCATCTACAGTAGTTTTAAAATGAATAGAAAGGACGATAAAATTGATAAAATCACTTCCTCAAAGTGACCATCGTCATGCATTCTTCGCTAACGGCTGTGTGGAAGGGGCCTTCCCTTTTGTTTGAAACGGCCTTACAAATGATGTCCGCTTCCCAAAGTCTAAGTGCCTTTCAAGGCCGAAAAACGACACTTGGAATTCGCTGAACAACTTGAATTATTTTATTTATATGTTGACTCAATCTCTAGCTTTAAAATGGCTCACATTACCATAAACGGTAAGAATTATTATCCTCAATTGCATGTACCCTTTACTAACGGACATTTGTAATGTCACTAGACATGAGGGGCCTTTCCAGGGTGCTAAAATATTTCATTTGTTCTCCACTTTCTTTGTTGAACAGTGTGCTGTAATGCCATGTCACATGGGGGTGAGATGCATTAACACATCTCCTGGTTTTCACTGTGGGCCCTGTCCAGCTGGGTACATGGGCCCCCTGGTGCAGGGGGTTGGACTCGCCTATGCATCTGCCAATAAACAGGTATCATTTTTATATGAGAATAATCATGAGGCAATCAATGGATGAAATGTTGGAAATTAATTGGAAACTGTTATTTGCAGGTTTGCGCAGACATTAATGAGTGTGAGAACTCAAATGGAGGCTGCGTGGAGAACTCCAACTGCATCAACACACCAGTGAGTGATGCTTTATGGTCTATTGGTCACATCAGCAGAGCTACATTTAAAGCAGAGGTTCTTATCTGGTGGTGTGCAGCCCAATGATCGGTTCTGCTGTTGATTCACTGTAAAAAGAGACTTCTGTTGATAGTTACTTCTACCTGATTTGACTCTAAAAATTACTTTCATCAACTAATGTGGTGAGGCATGAAACCATTATGGAACGGTTTGACTTGAGTTTATTTACATATGCCCATGTAATTACTGTAGGTGCCCATTTAAAGGGAAAGTTGACTTTGAAATGAATTTTTGATATGTTTTAGCTTACCTCAAGGGCATCCAAGATGTAGGTGTCTTTGTTTCCGCAGTAGTTTCAATTTTGATAATTTTAGGTCAAACCGTTCTTGCCTGTAAGTCATTTAATGGAGACCTATGGGGTCCACCTTAAAGAGCATGCACAGAGAAGTCCAAATTAAACATGATTTAATGACTCGTGAATGTAAGTACACACTGATGGCCTAAGACACGAAACGAGCGGTTTATGTGAGAAAAAGGAACAGTATTTATATCGTTTTTACCTCTTGTAACTACAGTCACGTCCAAGTGATTTGAAGGCACGGGCGCTTCGGTGTGCGTAAGTGCCGGAAAGCACTGGAAATGATCTCTTGCGCGGTCGCAAAAAAATAAATAAAAATCAACGTTGTCTGTTGATATATCCAAATCGTCTTCCATTGCAATTTCCTGTATATCTAAATATGTTTAGATCTTCACAGTGAAAACTAACACTTCTGAAATCTCTGTGTAAACAATGAGTGACGGACATGCGCGAGAGATCATTTGCGCAGACCGAAGCGCCCGCGCCGCGCCGCGATATAAATGCTGTTCGTTTTCTCACACAAACCGCTTGTTTCGTGTCTTAGGCCATCAATGTGTACTTACCTTTATGAGTCATTAAATCATGTTTAATTTGGATTTCTCTGTGCATGCTCTTTGAGGTGGTGACCATAGACCTGCATTATATGAGTGACAGACAAGAACGGTTTGACCTAAAAATATAAAAATTGAAAATACTGTGGAAACAAAGACACCTACATCTTGGATGCCCTTGAGGTAAGCTAAAACATAACAGAAATTAATTTCAAAGTGAACTATCCCTTTAATTTTAGGTTAAAAATCTTTTCAGTTGAAGGGTCACAGATATGACATGCACAAAAATTTGATGTCATGGACACAAATTAAGAATTCATTCCCATGACTTGAGCCCAATTCACTTATGGCCACGTTTTATTAATATGTTCCCTCTTTTTAGGTAAAACTTGGTTCCCACATTTTCTGCAAATCATGCCCAAATTGTTTTAACTCTTTCCCTCGTTTTAGGTAAATCGAGGTCATGTTGTAATAGTGTTCCCTCGTTTTAGTTAAATCATGGACACATTACTAAAAAGTGACCACAACCACAAAACAAGAAAACAATTAATAAATTGAGGAAACAAATGAATAAATGTGGGAACAAATTCCTAATTCATGCAAAATATATGCATCCAAACTATAAGGTATTTTGGAACAAATTCATATGTCACTTAAGCTAGCTAAAGCTTTTAAACTCTAAAAATACTTTGGGTCAAATATGGACAAAGCCAAACGTTGGGTTAAAAATGTAATTAAAAAATTCAACCCAATGGTTTTAACCCCAAAATTTGGTTAAAACAACCCAGCAATTTTTAGAGTGCCTAACATATGCAGGTTGTGTGACATGCCCTATCCTTAAATATAATTAACAGAACTGTAAATAATTTCAGCTCTTTATTATGTACATAAATGGATCAAGGTGAACATATTTACATAAGTTGTGAACCCAGAATTGGATCACAGCTATTGTGTGGGGTCACCACAAAGCAGCATAAAAACTAATCAAACCAGATGATAACCACTGGTCTACAAATTTGGAGGAATTGATTCATATCAATCAGTGGGATCATCATGTTTATTTGAATCATTGTATGGTTATTTTAGGGCTCTTTCCGTTGTGGCCGCTGTAAAACTGGTTTTGTTGGGGACCAGGCGAAAGGCTGCAAACCTGAGCGGGCTTGTGGTAATGGTCAGCCCAATCCTTGCCACGCCAGCGCAGAATGCATTGTTCATCGTGATGGACAGATCGAATGTGCAGTAAGTCAATGATCATATTTGACAAACTGCTATATAGATGTGACTGGCCTAACTGATAAAATCTGTTTTAGTGTGGAATTGGTTGGGCTGGGAATGGATACTTGTGCGGAACAGACACCGATATCGATGGCTTTCCTGATGAAAAGTTGGAATGTGTGGAAAGAAACTGTGCAAAGGTAAAATAAATCAAGAATAAAGATGTAAAAAGTGAAGAACTTGTTAAAAACTTAGTGTTGAATGCTTTTCTAGGACAACTGCCTCACTGTTCCAAACTCCGGCCAAGAAGATGCAGACAAAGATAGCATCGGTGATGCATGTGATGATGATGCAGATGGAGATGGGATCCTGAACACAGAGGTCAGAGGTCACCACACCATCTTTGTTAAATGCAGTGTTATAATATCACCAACTATACCGTAAAATTATTTAACCCCCATTGCAAATCTGGTTTATTGACAGACTTTCAGCTTTTTGCTATGAACAAATCAAACAAAAGTAATTGAAATAGCTCAACACAACAAATGTTTCAAGTGGTTTCCCCAAATTCAACAGAAAATTCAACTTTTAATGACTTTTGCAGTCTCAAAATGATTCAACCCCTCCGAATAGAATCCCTCACAACAGCACAATCCGCAAAACAGGTGTTGTCTCAAGCACATCTGATGCAATAATCAAGGGCTTCATTAATTTCACTATGTTTGCTTGAGCTAGAACAAAAGAAATATCTGAACTGGCTAGGTTTTTTAAGAAATGTTATAAATTTGGTTAGTTCACCAAAAAATGAAAATTAAGTCATTAATTACTCACCCCCATGCTGTACCAACCCCGTAAGACCTTCGTTCATCTTCAGAACACAAATGAAGATATTTTTGATTAAATTTGAGAGGTGGATCACTGCTGCATAGGCTCCTAAGGGATCGAAACTTGATGGCCCAGAAAGTCAATGAAGAAAATGTTTAATTATTCCATGTGACAACAGTGGCTCAATTATAAGTTTATCAAGCAACGAGAATACTTTTGGTGCGAAAAAAACAAACAAAAATAACGATTTTATTCGACTACTCCATTTCTTCCTTCTGGGCCTGAGACTTCAAGAGATTTCCACGACGCATGTGCGAGAACTGAACTGAAGTAGTTGAAGGAGATCGCAATTCTCGTGCATGCGTCGTGGAAATCTCTTGAACTCTCGTCTCAGGCCTACAAGGAATCCTCTCGTCGCTTGATAAACTTATACTTGAGCTACTGTAGTCACATGGAATATTTAAACATTTTCTTCGATGACTTTCTGGGCCGTCAAGTTTTAAACCCTTAGGCAGCCTATGTAGCAGTGATCCACCTCTCAAATTTAATCAAAAATATCTTCATTTGTGTTCCGAAGACGAACTAAGGTATTACGGGGTTGGAACATAATGGGGGTGAGTAATTAATGACTTAATTTTCATTTTTGGCTGAACTAACCCTTTAAACTGTATGTATGCTTTGTTCTAAAACCTGGTATGCTGCCTTCTAAGGAAGCATCCTAATCCAAATGGAACTTCATTCAAGTGACTGAACTAGACTGAACATTCTACAATTACCTCATTTCCACCAAAAAGGAACTGGTTCAGAACTGGTGCTGGTTCAAAGTTGGTTCAACTTGTGAACCTTCTCAGAACCTGTTTGTTTTTCCACTGACTCGAGAGCCCAGCGAATGACGTCGTTACGTCACTGTGTACGTCGCCATACGTCTAAGCTTTCCCATTCCAGTTGTGTTGCTGGTCTCAATAACCCTTCCCCAGCCCTCGACGTAAGCATGATGTGGTTAAAGAACAGCACAGTCTCAGATAGCAAACTGACATTGAATCAATGTGGAAATATGACATCGAAACAACGTTGATCTGACATAGTTTTGCTCATCGAATTAACGTTGAACCAACGTCAGACGCGTCATTCTTTCAAAACGAACGGAAAATCAACTTGAAATCAACGCGTTGTTTCAACGTTATGAAAGCAAACCAATTTTCGATTTTCATTTAGCTTTGAAGAATGCCGCGTCTGACGTTGGTTCAACGTTAATTCGATGAGCAAAATCAACGTTGTTTCAATGTCATGAGAGACGTCGTTTCCACGTTGATTCAATGTCAGTTTGCTGTCTGGGTAGTCTCATCCTAAGATGTCATATAACTGACGTCTTGGGACGTCTTGTGACCATACGTCAACATCCGCCTTTTTATGGTACCCTTAAACGTCGGTTAGATGACGTTATCGGATCCTAACCCTACCCCAGACCTAAACCTACCCCGTCACCTAACCGACGTTAAAGGTAAAGTGTCAGTTGTATGACGGCCCGGGATCGTCATGTAACCGACGTTTAAGGATAGCCTAAAAAGGCGGATGTTGACGTATGGTCAAAAGACGTCCCAATACGTCAGTTATATGACTTCTTGGGATGAGACTTTGTTAAAAAGAACAGTTCTAGTTCAAGAGTTGGTGCCGCTTTGGAAACAAATTTCCTGGCCGAGAACCGTTTTTTTTGGCTGTCGAAACACAAAGAACTGGTTCGCGAGTGGGCACCGGCACCGACCCGGTTCTAGAAATGCTTTGGTGGAAAAGGGGCAATAGTCAACAGTTTCACACAGCATACATAAAGCTGCATGTACATGGAGAGGAGACTATTGATTCTAATAGAGTGTGATAGCATGTTGATCAGCTAATATTACACTAAAATATTTCATTAAAATGTATATCACAGACAAAGCTCGTTAAGCTCCTTCTTCATAAAGATATTTGAGATGCTGCCTTAGAAGGTTGCTGCTTATCTTTTAAAACATACTTTATGTTGATTATGCCCAATGTTGTCTATATTGGCATTTGGGGAGCTGTAATCCTGAACTACCAGTTCTCACAACCTGCTCATTTCTCTGATAGGACAACTGTGTGCTCGTCCCCAATATCAATCAGAAGAATATTGATCAGGATGATTATGGAGATGCTTGTGATAATTGCCGTCTGATTAAAAACAATGATCAGAAGGATACAGATGGTGATGGTCAGGGTGATGAGTGTGATGATGACATTGACGGGGATGGTAAAACTTTCGATATTTCCTTCATTGGGTTACTATGTACAGCTGCATTGGTTCAACTGAGAAGGTTTGCTTTCTAGGAATAAAAAATGATAAGGATAACTGCAAAAAGGTACCAAACCGTGACCAGAAAGATCGAGATGGTGATAATGTTGGTGATGCTTGCGACAGCTGTCCCTACGTCCGCAACCCTGATCAGGTCTGATTAACTCTTGATTCATTTCTCACTTGTAAATTCTCTCTTTACCCAGAATGGTTTGATGTCAGAATTTGTTTTTAGAGTGCACACCCAAGCAAACTTAAAAAAAGTGGTCTGAGTGTGGTCAGACTCAAAAGTACAATGTATAAAAGAGACTGCAGAGTGATGGAGGTGCAATAAAACTCTGAACCCAAGAAATTGTGGTATTAGAAAAGCCTACAGTACATAACTCATGATTCTCCTTCTTTCGGCTACAGATGGATGTGGATAATGATTTAATTGGTGATCCTTGTGACACCAACAAAGACAGGTATTACAAAACTCCAAATGTTGGTTCCCATTGGTAACGCCCATAATTGGAATGTTCAGTCCAATGCTTTGGTCTCTGTCTTCAGTGATGGAGATGGGCATCAGGACTCACGAGACAACTGTCCTGCAGTCATCAACAGCTCCCAGCTAGACACAGACAAGGATGGCATTGGAGATGAATGTGATGATGATGATGACAACGATGGCATTCCTGATCTCCTTCCTCCTGGTCCAGACAACTGTCGTCTGATTCCAAACCCACTGCAGGAGGACTTTGATGGTCTGGTTTCAAAGCTTGGAAACCTTACTTTACGTCAAACTGTTATACTAATACCATTATTCTGAATTAAAGGAGAACTCCGGCGCAAAATCAACCTTTGGTCTAATTACACATTGGTACCTAGTTGACCGTTCTTTGAGATTTGTTTTCATGATAATCGAATGTAAAGAGTTTTATCTCTAAAAACTGTTTAGTCTATAACACTAGTAATGGGGGCATTGACTAAGTAAAAAGAAATCGCTAGTTTATACCACTAACAAGGCTCAAAATAGCCCCACAATAACACCATAACATAATGAGGGTCCCTACGCGCAAAACGAAGCATTGAGAACTTTGTAAGTGTACAGACAGTTTAATAAGAAGATATTTTATAAAGACAGTCCAGCGCCATCTTTGGAAAACAGTCTCGACAAGTCAAACCAGACAGTTCATTTGTTCGTGGTTCGACTCGTGACTGTTTTCCAAAGATGGCGCCACCTGTATACACAAAGTGGACTGTCTTTATAAAATATCTTCTTATTAAACGGTCTGTACACTTACAAAGTTCTCAATGCTTCGTTTTCCATGTAGGGACCCTCATTATGTTACTCTGTTACCGTGGGGCTATTTTGAGCCTTGTTAGTGGTATTAACTAGCGATTTCTTTTTACTTATCATATGCCCCCATATACTAGCGTTATACACTAAACAGTTTTTAGAAATAAAACTCTTTACATTCGATTATCATGAAAACAAATCTCAGAGAGCGGTCGACTAGGTACCAATGTGTAATTAGACCAAAGGTTCTTAGTTTAACTGAAAAGACTTTATGAACCATATTGACAAACACCAAACCAACAAACCTAGATTAGCATGGGACGTTTTCTGCCATTTTCTGATCTTGTTGCTTTGTCATGTGTATGTCAGATCTTAATCATCTGCATCATTTTCTTGACTGTTGATTTGCAGGTAATGGCATTGGCAACGTTTGTGAGAATGACTTTGACAATGACACATATAGCGACAACATTGACGTTTGTCCTGAGAATGCTGAGGTCACTCTCACCGACTTCAGAACCTATCAGACTGTAGTTCTAGATCCGGAGGGTGATGCGCAGATCGATCCAAACTGGGTGGTACTTAATCAGGTCTGTCTGCCTCTTTCGGCCTCATAGATGGTGGCAGTCAAAGTTCTCACAGTGTGAACTTACTAAGGTATGCTCATCCTTTTTAACAGGGAAGAGAGATTGTTCAGACCATGAACAGTGACCCTGGCCTGGCTGTAGGTAAGAAATGATTTTGAAAACAGCATTGTGGATGTGCTGACAAGTTGATTCCAAGCTTAAAGGATTATTTCACTTTTAAAAAAAACTTTTACTGATAATTTACTCACCCCCATGTCATCCAAGATGTCCAAGTCTTACTTACAAATTAAGGTTTTTGATGAAAACATTCCAGGATTTTCTCCATATAATGCACTTCAGTGGGAACCAAACGGTTCAAGGTCCAAAAGACAGTTTCAGTGCAAACTGCAAACTGTTCAAAGGGCTTTAAACGATTCCAGACGATGAATAAGGACCTTATCAAACGAAATGAGCGGTCATTTCAAAAATAAAAAAGTTTAAGTTTTATAAGCTCAAATGGTCGCCTTGCTCTGTTCGTGACTCTCCAGTTCACAATGAACAAATCTTTTTCAGCGTCATTTTGTTCATTTTGTTGGTTGAACGAATTAAATGACTTGAAAAAAGATTCGAAAAAATTACTCGAAAAAAGATTTGTTCATTTTTTCGAGTCATTTCATTTATTTTGTTTGTTGAACGAATGAAATGACTCGAAAAAAGATTATGAAAAAATGACTAAAAAAATGAACAAATCTTTTTTCGAGTCATTTCGTTTATTTTGTGCGTTGAACGAACGAAATGACTTGTTCATTTTGATGAATGAGTTCGAACAGGAGAGTCACGAACGTGCATTACAGAATAAAAGAAAGGCGAGCATTTGTACTTATAAAACGTAAAAGTTTTTTTTTTTAATGAGCGATCGTTTCACTAGATAAGACCCTTATTCATCGTCTGAAATCGTTTAAAGCCCTTTGAACAGTTTGAACTGAAACTCTCTTTTGGACCTTGAACCGTTTGGCTCCCACTGAAGTGCATTATATGGAGAAAAATGCTGGAATGTTTTCATCAAAAACCTTAATTTCATTTCGACTGAAGAAAGAATGACATGAACATTTTGGATGGTATGGGGGGTGAGTAAATTATCAGCAAAAGTTTTTTGTTAAAAGTGAACTACTCCTTTTACCTCTCTGGTTACTCCAACAGGCTACACAGCATTCAATGGTGTGGACTTCGAAGGGACGTTTCATGTAAATACTGAGACGGATGACGACTATGCAGGCTTTATCTTTGGCTATCAGGACAGCTCAAGCTTCTATGTGGTAATGTGGAAGCAAGTGGAGCAGATTTACTGGCAAGCCAATCCTTTCCGAGCTGTAGCTGAGCCTGGTATCCAACTAAAGGTGTGATCTGGTTTCTTTAAGTGCAGAGTAACAACTTTTATAGCTCGGATCAAATATAGTACCAGTTTTTTTTTTTTTTTTTTGGTAGGCAGTGAAATCAGACACGGGACCTGGAGAAAACTTGCGGAATTCACTCTGGCACACAGGCGACTCAACTAACCAGGTGAAACTCTTGTGGAAAGACTCCAGAAATGTCGGCTGGAAAGACAAGACTTCTTACCGCTGGTTCCTGCAGCACAGACCCCAAGAAGGCTATATTAGGTATATTTCATCTGCAAATCCTCCTGTTTTTTATTCGCAATATTGTTTTATGCATGTTTAGGTAAATACTCTGCATATCTCGCATGCAGGGTTCGGTTCTATGAAGGTCAGCAGATGGTAGCTGACACAGGAATTATTATTGACACAACCATGAGAGGAGGCAGGCTGGGGGTTTTCTGCTTCTCTCAAGAGAACATCATCTGGGCCAACCTGCGCTACAGATGCAACGGTCAGTTATTTTGATAAAAAATATATTAGGCATACATTAGAAAATAAGTAAACAGGTCTACTACACTCACTCAAAGAGCTTACTCTCAGTAATGGAACGTTCACACCGGACGCGAATAGCGCATCAGGCGCGAATGATTTCAATGTTCAGTCAATGCAAAGACGCGTTACGCGCGTAAAAAATTCCTGCGGTGCGAATGACGGTAGAGATCCACTTGTCTGACAAGACAGTCGCGTGTTGTCACAACGCCTCCCCACATTTGTACTTTGATGGGCGTTCCTCAAGTTTAACGTTATGAGCGTGGTTTTGAGCCAGTGGCAGTGTAGAACAACAGAGGACCTGCGAGAGACTTCCCCCCGTCTCCATATGCTCTACTTCTATTGGATAGTCGTGGTGCGTTCAACGGAATTCATTTGCATAAAGTTGGGCATCGGCCAGCTTTTTGACGTGCAGCATTTTTCCAAATGAAGCGCAGCCTTCCCGGGATGCTTTGCGGGCACGTTAAAGTCGCGTGATGTCACCCATAGGAATAAAGCGGAGCGCAGCGCGACAGAAGTGCCGCACGGACAAGTGGATCCGCACCCTGAAGGCCAATTTATACTTCTGCGTAGGGTGCGCGCAGTAGGTACGGCGTAGCATACGCACAGACGCGTCCCATACCGCGTACCCTTCGCCGTCGCCTGACGCGCACCTCTTCAAAAATGTAACTACACGTCGCGACGACGCGGACCGCAAGATCGGTGATTGGTCGGCTTGGTAGCATCGCATTTCCTCCTACGCATTTCCGCACGTACCTTCTCACGCAGTTCCACCACTGCCTATGATTTCCACACGTACCATCTCCTCCGACGTCTTCTGTCATTTCTGCCTTTCAGTTTTAGTAATTTCACTAAAGTGAACTGTTTTTCCACCTCAATAAGCTCCAACTCCAACATGATCAGCTCTCTTTCAGTCGATATTGCTTGTAGTAACCTAGCCGTGAGGAATCTAAACACAGTGGAACATTAAAACTCTCCGCCGCCAACTAGCGTTTCGGAGCAGTACTGCAGAGCAACCAAGACCTGAACGCAGAAGTATAAATGCTCACAACGGCGTCGCCTACGTGCGTAGCCAACGCCGTGCACTACGGCGTACCCTCGACGCAGAAGTATAAATTGGCCTTGAGGCGTAGAGCATGGCGCGGTAGCAGCGCATCTGGCGCGTTAAGTGCAAATGATTTAGTTAGTGCTATTTGTGCATTCACGCGTTTGACGCGAAATCGCGTCTTCCGCCCGAGTTGAAAAATCTGAACTTTGGCGTCAAATTCGTGCCACGTTAACCAATCAGGAGCCTGCTGCTTGCTCACGTGTCAAGTATCTGGATGCTTCAATAAATTATTTTGTAATATGTCTAAATGCGTGTGGTTCTAATGCACAACAAAGCAAATATTTTATCACTCAAAACTTTATTTCAATATACGAGACATGTTCATTTTGCATTGAATGTTATTTATTCCATATCTAGATTATCTGAAATATTCTTATGATGTAGCCTAAAGACAACCAACATACATGTGCATTAATTCTTGTCTGGACGTGAGAGAGAAAAATATCACAGGACAGGTTAATAACTTTTGGAGGCTGGCTCTTTTTATCATCAAAACAAAAATAAATTACAGATTAGGTGGATGAGGGCGAGGGTGATCCTCGCTCCGATGCGGGACAACAGGTTATCAAACTGCGGGACAGGCGGAAGTACCGCTGACAGCGGCCATCATCCAGGCGAAGCTCCTGGAGCGAAACGGTTCGCCTTCGAAGGGTCCGGTGGACACAAATACGGTGACGATGATCCCCACGCCGCTGTTCTGCTCTCCAGAGTAAATACAGAGTGGTGACTCTCTTGATGAATGCTCGGTCGACATAAAAACGGATTCCGATTCTGACACGCATTACGCGCGTAAATTTCGCTTCAAACTTTAGTTTTTTTTCTTGACGCGCAAATGGATTCAAAGTGGTCAAGCGTCAAACTAGACGCGGTAGACGTGAATTTGACGAGCTACTCGCGTCCGGTGTGAACGTAGCATAACAGTTCTACACATCCTCTGCCACTTGCTTGCTCATTTATTACAGACCGTTCTCATCCCAAGGCGTCATATACTGACGCTTTTGCCAATGCGTATACATCCAACGCACATGGCACCCTTTAGCGTCAATATGAGTCGCATATATGGGCCAGAAGGCGCCTCCTAGTGGTCTAACCCTAACCCTACCCCAGACCTAAACCTACCGATAACCGAAACGTGTTGTATTGACGCTAAATGGTGCCATGTGCGTTGGATGTATACGCTTTGGCAAAAGTGTCAGTATATGACGCCTTGGGATAAGAATGCGTTGTTTATTAGTATGGCTCATTTGAAAATACTCAAAGCTACCAATTGGAGTATAGTACTCCCAAATGTTTAACATATTTAACTTTTTTTAAGTTATCATGAAATACAAAATCTATTGATATTTATTTATACAAAATAAAAGTCTTTTTTTAGCATGATTCATTGAGTCATGTTATTTCAAATATATGACAAAAAGCAATATATAATTTTACTATAATTCCTCTGTGGGTGACCGTTTTTCATGATCCAGTTCCCACTGGACTTTCAATGAATATCCTTTCACTCGGAAGACATTCTGCAGCAGATTTTCCCTTGAAAAAAGTGCAAAATCATACATTTTTAGTATTATTAAGGTGAAATATGGCAATACAAAATTCACAGTCTCTGAGGAGACAATTATTCAATTCTATCGTATTTCCTCTTTGTTTTTGCAGATACAATCCCAGAGGACTTTGAGACGTTCAGAACCCAGCAAATCCAGCTTTTTTAAACACAAACGCAACATTTTTTACAAGGTTAACGTGTTTTGAGTTGTATATATATGTGCCATATTTCATACTCAATTTTTTATACTTTAAGAACAACAGTAGATAAGCCTCAAAACCCCAAATGACTGACAGATACACTGATGACACACCGCATTAGCACTGAGGTCACAAACACCACAATTTAAATATATATATGTATTTTAAAAACACGTACAGAAATACAGGTTACAAAATATAAATGATATAACAAGAAGGCTCTGATATATGCAGCTGAGACATCATGCACATCCATATTTAGCTTTTTTTTTCTGAGAAAGGAAAAATTACCAGCAATACGACAAAGACGAAATCAATTCCTTCTACAATCACGAATAGGAGACAAAGATGACCACACCAGCACAGCGACTATAGAACTGGGCCTCTGGATAGATCCAACCCAATGAAAGCTCTAGACAACCACAAATTATATGTCCTAATATACCGTTAATTCCAATAAAGAGCGAGCACCGTTTATGCTCGCAAAATGAAAGACCACAAAGATCTGATGCGCATTCTGTAATCTAGTCTGTTTACGACGTCTTTTTAAGTGATGTGACGGCCGACGAATTAAAATCATCCTTACAGAAAGAAATCAATGTTGATGGCACTTAGTTTATGCTAATGCTATGAGTTAAGGGGAAGGCTTGTTATACTGATCAGCGCTAACCTATGGGTCACTATCATTATGTATATCAAGAAGTACGTCCCATCTAGTCAACTACGTCCTTATTAGTCTTAATGGTACGGACATGGTAATCATGGTAACTAACTGCTTAGCAGTTCTATTAAGGCTTAAAGGGGAATTTACGCTAAAGGGGGTTTGCTCTCACACAAACAACCAGGACACAAATGAACAAGTCCAACGTACATGTAAAACCGCTCCGATAAAACGCCCCAAACAGGCAGTTTGGCTGCATGCCGCATGTTCATCAACAACAGATTATTTGACCAATAAAAACATGCAGTCTGCCCACATCTCATCATGTTTAACATGGTAAAGCAACAAACAGACTGAGCCCTTTTTTCGGTTTGCATTGGGAAGTCACATATACGCTTTTCCCTCTGAATTAGCTTTGCAATACAGAGAACAATTCACAAAGAACACCTTCACAATAAACTGGGGGGGAAATGCATGTACAGGGTTGAACAGTCGGCATTCTCAGAAAGTAAAACAGTCCAAGTTTCATGAGCAAAGCCACAGCTGAAGCCCCTATAGGAGCAACAGCCATGAAGATTTCAAAGTAATGCACATATGTCAGTATGAAAGCTGCCATATCTTCCAGATTTCAAATGGAAACTCAAGATGCAAGGGCTGAACAAATCCATAGGGTGAAGGGGGGGGTGACCCAACTGAAGGAAGTTAACAAACATGCTGTAACCGTGATGAACAGAAAAATGCTACCGTGACCCAAAAAAGCCAACATAACAGATCATAAGAAACAAAAGTGCTTTGGTCAAGCATTGCCAAGCAGGTCATTTGGTGTAATGCACTATAATAACACGGAGCCCCATAAATACATTCCGTTTCTAAACATGATCATAGACATAGTTATCAGTGTCAAAGCAGACTAGCATTAATTAAAACATGCACTGTCTCTCTGGAATCTATTTTGTTGTATGTTCAGTGAATCTTTTTGCTGGAATCAGCCAAGCTAATGAAGACCTCGTTCTCTAAAGGTATTTTCTCGTCATGTTCCTGTGATAAGGTTTATATGTACACTGTTTTCAGGAAAAAAAGTGTCCGAGACAAACACTTTCATGGATAACGTGAAAACAATAGAAGAAATATTCTGAATGGCACAGTTTGAAGAATAAAATGGGAGTATTGCAGTGTTTGTTGTCTAATAAATATAAACCATCTGAACCAATCCCTACTTCTCAGCCCTTAGTACACAATTCATATTCAAACAAAAATATTCCCAATTGTTAGTTGATTAATGCTTTTAGTTTGCATAGGAATCACATATGGGATTTGCACCGTTTTAGGATCCAAATCTGTATCTGGCCAAAAAGGGCTAAACTTCACCAGGTTATTTTGTTTTTGGTATATGTTTTAGATACAGTGGGGCCCAAATGTATCATTTCTTTAAATAAATTTAAAACATCGACATAAACTATATCATTCGCATAACAGTTTGATACAAAACATTTGTTAACATTTAACATAAACTAACAATTAAAAATACTTCTACAGCATTTATTCATTTCGTAACACTTTATTTTGATGGTCCCTTTTGAACGTGCTGTTAAGTAACTTTGCAACTAACTCTCATCAGAGTATTAGTAGACTGTCTGCTTAAAGGAGTAGTTCACTTTTAAAAAAAACTTTTGCTGATAATTTACTCACCCCCATGTCATCCAAGATCTCCATGTCATTCTTTCTTCAGTCGAAAAGAAATTAAGGTTTTTGATGAAAATATTCCAGGATTTTCTCCATATAATGGACTTCAGTGGGAACCAAACGGTTCAAGGTCCAAAAGACACTTTCAGTGCAAACTGTTCAAAGGGCTTTAAACGATTCCAGACGATGAATAAGGGTGAAACGATGAATCAAGCGAAACGATCGCTCATTAAAAAAACAACAACAACAACAAAGTTTAAGTTTTATAAGCTCAAATGTTCGCCTTGCTCTGTTTTGTGATGCGCGTTTGTGACTCTCCTGTTCGAACTCGTTCATCAAAATGAACGAATCTTTTCCCGAGTCAATTTGTTCGTTGAATGAACCAAATGACACGAAAAAAGATTTGTTCATTTTGATAAACGAGTTTGAAAAGGAGAGTCACGAACGCGCATCACAAAACAGAGCAAGGCGAACATTTGAGCTTATAAAACTTAAACTTTATTGTTGTTGTTTTTTTTTAAATGAGCGATTGGATCGCTTGATTCATCGTCTGGAATCATTTAAAGCCCTTTGAACAGTTTGCAGTTTGCACTGAAACTGTCTTTTGGACCTTGAACCATTTGGTTCCTATTGAAGTGCATTATATGGAGAAAAATGCTGGAATGTTTTCATCAAAAACCTTAATTTCTTTTCGACTGAAGAAAGAAAGCCATGGATATCTTGGATGACATGCGGGTGAGTAAATTATCAGCAAAAGTTTTTTTTAAAAGTGAACTACTCCTTTAATATCTGCCAACTCTGATGCTCCACCAACAGACACTCTACTGACTATAAGTAATTTTGTAACTACATATCAACTGAATCAAGCCCAAACCCTACCAGTCAATTAATACTCAACTAACGCTCTAATGAGAGTTAGTAGACATGTGGTGCAATGTTACTTCTAGTCAACTGAATGTGTTAAAGGCACCATCAAAATAAAGTGAGACCCTCAACATTTACTAATACATTACTGGTCATTATTAGTTTATGTTAGCTCAGATACAACAATTTCTTTTTTTAATTGTCTTTGTTTTAGATTTTCCTTTTTAAAAATCCAACAACTTTCCAGGTTTGAATGCAAAAAAAAGTGGTGTTTTGTAGACCCCACTGCATATAGAGATCATAACTGTGTCACTGAACTGTAAATGAGTGATTCCTTCATTCCTTCTAATATAGCACAGAGGTCTTCAACCTTGCTTCTGGAGACCAACTGTCCTGCAAATTATATTTCCAATCAAGGGATCCCGAAGAGCTGACTAGATGAACTCAACTCTGTAGGACAGTGGGTCCCCAAAAAGCAGGGTTAAAGACCTTTGCTAAAGCACACAGGGCAAAAAATAAATAAAAAATGTCACTTGATCAAAGTGCCACAGGGCTCGAACATACATGTGGGAATGAAAAACACAAACTAAGGAGCATTACTCTCCCCATGCCAGATGAATGACATCATCTTCACACAGAAACTTGAGTTTCGTTTGGCAGTACAAGTACAAACTATACAGCACTCAATACTAAACAAAACGGCATATCGAGAGGAAAACACTTTGGAGATTAGAAAATCACATCGACAGTTAAAAACAGCATTTTGTTCATATAAGGCAAAATCAGGTCCTCTCACAGTGTAGTGTTCAGCAGGTTTCTGCAGCAGCTCTTGGTGACCACTGTTGAAGCGTACATTACAGCGATAACAGTAATCAAACCTTCAGTTTGAATAACATATGCAGAACATACAGAAAGTCACATGACAGTCCACAAAAACACCAAAACATGGGTTATATTTCTATCAAGAGACTGCTGTATTTTGCTAGAAAATTTCATCAATTACTGGCAAATATTTTCAAAAAAAAAAAAATAAAAAAAAAATGATAACACCAATCGTGACATCTTGAGATGTTTGAATGTTACAAAATGCTAGCAAATTGAAATGCCATGGAAGCCATTTTGTAAAAGCAAATGTTATGCCTTCCAGTGTACAATGAGCAATGCTCCCTTAAACCCTAAATACACAATCTGGGGGAGTAGTGCTCCTTACAGAAATATAATAAAATAATATATATATATATATATATCTATAATTAAAAAAATAATAAATACATAAATACATATTATAAATAAATATGTCGATTTCACACACATAATTATACAGACGGATAATTCTTCATGGACATACTTGTGTAAACATTTTAAAATAGATGAAAGTTGGCAATTCACTTAATGTGCCAAAATAATTCATCAACATACTGAAGTGAATATGAATTCAAAGCAAAACACACAAATGGTGTGAACCATAAAAGATCCATATGCCGATGGAATCAAAAGGATGGACAAGCGACAAAATAGAAAATGCGTGTTGGCGACCAACCGAGAAAACGAAATGCAAACAAACAAAAACAAAACATGAAGAGAGTGGACGGTGGACGGTATTGCGCATTGGAAACTATCCAGTGTGGATACAGGACTTCCACCTCCACACCCCCCAAACCCTCGCTGCCATCCCCAGCTCCTGGCCATGAGCGGTTCGGCAGCATGCTGTTGTCTGGGTGGTTGGGAGGACGAGGTCAGCCACTCACCAGATGGTGAACAGAGAGGCCATGCAGCGGGAATGTCTCGCTTAAAATTGCATTCACAGGTTCACAGTCGATCCATGCGGAATGTGTCCTCGGTTGCCGGGTCGGCGAGAACCATGTCCGGGTCGTTGAGCATGTGCAGTCCGTCTAGTGTCAAGGGGTCAATCTTCAACTCGTCCAATGGGAACTGAGAGTCTGCATCAAAGCTGACGTCACCAACGCTGGCCAATGAGCTGGTGAGGTCTTTGGAGAGACTGGGTGGAGATTCCCCTGTTACTAGTGTGCGACAAATCAAAAATGCCAGTTAGCAACTAATAAACGGGTGTTCACGCATGCAAGATGTCATTCATTTTTAATTGGAGTAAGTTGGAGATTTTCCATGATATCAGTGACGTGTGTTTGGTGTAAGTTTACATTTCATTAAAGGTCGTATAAGCGATTTAAGGGCAAAACAAAAATTATCACTAAGCCCTACCCCTTGTTTTCGAGTGTACTTCTTAGCCCTTAAAACGGAGTTACAAGGGCCAATGGGTTGAAATATTCCCCTACAAAATGGAACAACCCTTCATGTACCCGATACGTCATCAGTCGTCGGCGATGGCTCTGCCGTTACGGAGTTTGTACAGGATTTCTCCATGACAACGACTGACAATCAGCGCAGCTGCTCTTAACTTTGAATAAACATGATGATTATAACATCCCTTCCTCGAAATGTATGTCTTTTCTGATCGGAAAAGGTAATTTATTATACCATTTCCTAATTTAAACGACTATAGTGTTATTATAAAAGTAAATAAAGTGCGTGGTGGAATCATCTGGCGCTAAATTTAAATGTTTAACCGTTTGCGATCCATCTTGCCGGTGATTTCTGATGCATTCCGTGAACTTTTCTCTTAGCCCTCCGTTTGGAGTGTGCCTCTGAAAAATCTCCGTTTCGAGGGCTATGTAGCCCTACCCCTCGATCTCAACAAGAATCGGGACACCCTACCCCTAGACGTGAACGCGCAAAACGGAGGGGTAGGGCCAAGGGGTGAATTGGGATTGAGCCTAATTATCTAATCTTCTAACTATCATCTAATCTTTTCAAACGATCCGTTAGCTGCCCGCCCCATAAACAAACTGTCACAAAAACGAATGGGAACAACCATTTCCAGTATTTTTTTGCGCTCGTTCACGCCGCCTGCACGCGAAGTCGGAGCTGAAGAATAAGCCAGCGTCTATCAACCCTATGCTATCAATGGACCAGATACATTTAACATGGAAGAGGCAATCCCCAAGAAGAGGAGGAGGATTAAGGCGAGGGAATACCGTCGTTTTTCGTCAAAGAAATCGGGAAGGCTTTTGAACGGTGGAGAGAACTCAAAGAATTGAAAGATTTTAAATTGGACGCCGAGACTGCACTGTTTCTTCTGGACAGGTGAGTAGCTTCTAGTGCTGACTTTTTTGTATGCGAACTGTGTATGAAAATATAATTCTTTACAAAACATGAGCGAAGCTCGACTAAACTTGGATAGCTGTAGCGAATATCAGGTTGTAGGGATTTAGTGTGTGAGTTGCGTTTGTTGTGTCTACTTTGATGTGTAGCCAAAACATTGTACTATTAGCAATAACACTAGCCTACGTTCAGGACTAACTTTAGCTGAATAATAATAATAATAAGCTGTTATAATAGTGATGCACCGAAATTATCACATTATTTAGTGATGCTCTGGGTTTCCCCATGCTGTCTTCCCGCAGTACGATTTTATTCACGCTGAAAGGCAGTCTGGATACCATGGCCCAGATTTTCGACTCATTTAGGGAACCAATCACAGAACGGGGAGGGAGCAGCAAGACGATGACGACATCTATGCGACACACACCGAAGCAGTTTGTTTATATGGATTCAACATGGCAGCAGACGCAATGCTACCTTTCAGCCTTAGATATTGTTCTAAGTAGTTTAGAATGCAAGTTTATTTTGAAAAAAAGAGCATTTTTTGGCGTTAAACTTTGCGAGACCCCAGTCGTTATTGTTGTCTTGCCATTAATCACCCTGATGGAGGACCAGTACAGGAGGCGCTCAACCTTGGAATATCTGCCGCTCAGCTGTGTCCCGAGAAAGAAAATGCGATAAAGAATTGTCCATACCAACTTCTGTTCGGCAGTCCTGAGGCTTGGATGAGCGCAAAGTGGCAAGACACATTAGCCACGGAGTTGTATAGTAACCTGCTAGGCATCGTCGTCGACGAAGTCCATTTAACTTATAAATGGTAAGTGGTATTTATTAATATCATAATGTTATTATGCCTGTAGACTACCTACTGTGGTTGTCACAGTGCCACTAAGTTGTGTTGCTGTTCGATATCAATATACAGCTACCGCTTTAGTAGCATAACTTTCAGTTGTGCACACGTACCCGATTAAAGTTGTTGACACTTTAGTCATTAAATTAAATTTTTACATTTTTAAACTTGAGAAGTACAAGCGCAAACAATTTCCAATGCAAATAACAACTTCAACATCTATGTTGAACTGTACTTAATACTTGTGTTTTTCTAATGGAAACGGTTGGCTTTGAGCTACGTACAGGTGCCTTTGATAGACATTCTTAGCACCCAATAAATGGCGCCGGGCATTCGTAAACCACTATGCTAAAAGTTGCTATGACATCAAAAAGGATAAAACACCACCCCCGCAGAAGTAGATCAACGCCTACTTCAACATGGCCAGTTTAGCCCCGCCCACCGATTGGCGCATTACATGCATAGATAAATAACATAGGCCTACCTCGTGATGACAAACCGGATTGAGTTACCGAGAAATAAACATGCCGTTTACAAAATTTGGTTGTGGAAGAAGACATTCGCTGCATAAGCTTCCTCTGGATTCCAATAGGAAATCATAGTTATACTATTTAGTGACCAAGTTCCATCTGATGTGGGTAAACATTGTCCGTTTGTTCTCGACACAGTTGGAGACCGATTAAGATTAAAAAACGGTGCTGTACTATATTGGATCAGACGGGAATGGTGCAACACACGGACTCTGGGTAGAGTATGGGCGAATCATTCGAATCATTGCGGTTACCATTTTACAACATTGGAAGTTTTCAAAACAATTTCCCCCAAGTGCACCGACGGGTGAGTTGAAAGTGACTTATTATAATATGCAAATCTGTTATCCACTCACAGCAGAGGGCGTTTACTTCTAGTCTTCAGTGCGAGACGCCCATAAAAAGCGAGCGCGTTTCAGCTAGGCTCAAAACTAGGGTAGAAAATAGCCTATTACTAATTCATTTAGATATTTTTGAATGCAAAAACCAAGCGAACGTCATAAGTTGACCTCAGACAACAATATAAAAAATAAAATAAAAAGCCAGTTCATGACCCCTGTTTTACTCAGAAATGAACAAAATAAAGTAAAATGGGTTGTAAACAAACTTTTAACGATAACTTTATGCAAGCATTCTGTCCTCCCCAAAACTTGTGCTTGTACTGTATAGGTAAAGAGCCTCAATGCATTTATTGTACCTCTGTGACATCTCTTCGAAAGACATTTGCATGACGACATTCTTGTTGAATTGAAAGACACAATACCTGTGAGAATGATGTTGGGAATGTTGCCATGGCTACTGTAGCTCAGCTGCTGTGTCTCCTGCTGACTGCTGTGGCTTCCAGTTAAACCCATCATGGCTGCCTGTGTGTAGTTCAGGGTTGAACAGTGACTGGAGTCACCCAGATTCTCCATCATGTTCATGTTGAACTGTTCCAGCTACACAATCAACATTAGAAAGTTTTTTTTTATCATTTGAACAATAAATCAAATAATAATATTTGTAATACAGCAGCAAATTTTATTCCTGCACCATCAAACTCAATCAAACAGTTGTCCAGTCCAGTGAGTGCGTCATAGATGATTCAGCATTATATACTGTGAAAGTGCTAAAGAATTCAAACGGATTTTGCCCATCCTGAAATAAGTTCCCTGCAGTTACTTAGGCACTGAATCTCTCTCTATATATCTCTCTCCCTCTCTCTATACAGTAGTATATATATATATATTGCATGTCGCAATATACACAATGTAACCGTGACATTCAAAACATGAAATATCGATATTGCGTTAATTAAGGGTGACACAATATTATATAATACTGGTATTGGCGATAACCATCATATAAGAACCCGCTGTGACGTGGGTGATCATCTGAAAAGGTTTTTTAAAAACCTTTTCATGGTGGGCGTGGTTAGCTGGTGCCTGCTTACATCACAAGGCACCACAACTTCCAATAGGAAAATTCAACTGCAGTAGCCACCTTTCAACTTGAAGAGGGCATCGCTAAGACGTTTTTACACCATATATTGTAGAATTAAAAAACTTTTTACCCAAATGTCCAAATTCAATGAACAGCAATAATAAAGCCCCAGTCTTACAGATCATTAACTAAAAAAAAAGTTGGTTTAGAGTTTACCCTTTGATGAAATGTATTTTGAAAATATTTTGCATACCTGTTACTAAAGCATGTATGCAACATATGGTATGAAACACCATATTTATTTTTATTTAGTTTGCACATTTTTCGAGTTGTGAAAAAACAATTCTGATTAAACTGTATACCTGAAAAGGTCACAGTTCTGGTCACAGTTATGTGGTTTTGAAATATGTGGCAAAGAAAATAAACAGAAAAAAATGTTATTTAGCAAGAAAACTGACAAAATTCATTTATTTTCCAAATGAGAAATAAAAGCCCAATGTGAAATATGTAACATTACAGATCTTTAACAATGAGTGGTTGTATTTAAAAAAACAACAGCAGAAACATGTTTTAAGTGGTCCATTTAGTTTGTTTTATATGCCCCAAAGGGGAAATTGGTCCGGGTTCTTATGAGTTAACAATAATCCAGCGTCAGTACCTGGTTGACATCCAAAGGACAGTAGGTGGATGTATTGCACCTTAATGCTAGGAATCTCCTGTATTTCACACCCCTCTCTCGCCCCCCCCACCTATTTTGTTATTTCTCCCGTAATTTTGTTTGGCCCAAACCTTGTAATATATATAAAATATAGTATCAAATCTTGTATAGAACACATCCTACTCACAATCGACACATTATTACACAAATATCAACCCATTTGTGACCTCAACCTGGCAACCTACAACTCTGCGGCAGTAGTAGACGCGGGAAGTTGAATCAAGCATCCATCTATCTATCTATCTATCTATCTATCTATCTATCTATCTATCTATCTATCTATCTATCTATCTATCTATCTATCTATCTATCTATCTATCTATCTATCTATCTATCTATCTATCTATCTATCTATCTCTATCTATCTATCTATCTATCTATCTATAGAATTTATGTTTATTTTTATAATTTCATAATGTAATGACCAGCTTGTGAAGAAATCATTGATTGGTTCATCACAAAGAACAGTCCTAATCTAGTTGTTTTGCTTGTCTGGATCTGAACTGAACTGAATTATCGGTCTAAATTATGAACTGAATTAATTAGGCAATTCACTTCTTCTCTGAATCAGCTATGACTCACTCTCAAGCTGAAGTCAGCCTTGATTTTCAATAGGTAACAGGGTTTCAGAGGTTTTTTTGTTGTTGTTTGTTTTAAAATGGTATATCTTAATCTAAATGTACATACCTGGTTGGACAGGGCATTGGTCTGTCTGGACGGAAGTTGCTGATCATAGAATGAATCTCCAAAGATGCTCCCAACCACCTGAATATGCTATGAAAAAAGATCCACTGAGAACAATGTAACGCTGAGGTAAGCATGCACGAAGATGAAGTAGACATTGTTTATTATATTCCAAAATACTGAGGAGAAACACAGGCTCAACTGCCAGATGTACTGTAACAGTGTAAAGGTGTGTGTACTGAACAAGGTGGCAATAGAGAGAAGTACACTCTGAGATGCCAATAAACACAAAATTACAAAAAAAATCAACAAATGAAGAATGAAACCGTAGAGGTGTCATGCTTACTTGTGGTGAACCGCCAGGTGAGAAGCCCTGATTGGACACTGGAGATGTTGGCGACTGATTGGTTGAAGAGCCAGTCTGACTGCGATACTTTGGGGAGTAAAAATGTGTTGAATTTGAGATAACTGAATAACGAACCTAAAGCAAAGTGCGTACACTAGAAGAAAAACGTACTGAGTTTGCAGTTCCACTTGTGGCTGTCTCTGATTGGCTGGCAAGAGAGGTCTGGACAGTGGAGCTTACGGTGAGAGGAGGGAGCCGTATGAGACGGATGTTCTGAGGAAGGGTGTGCGGCTGTTTCTGCAGGTCATTCAGTAAACTCAGCAGTGAGTACTGAGACAGCTGCTGCTCCAGTGACAGACTGTCCATCGTGATTGGCTGTGATAACAACATACAGTCAACAAATCAGATGCTAGTGTTATGAACAAGGAAAAAAATATCATAAATTCATACATTTACTAGATCATTGTCAATGATCCCACAGTGTGACATATACGTTTAAAAAAATACAAGATTTTTTTCAACTTTTATATCATCTGTTGATATTTTGAATTCATTTGTTTTTGTTTTTTTTGATTGACAAATTGTAGACTCATAATTGCTCAAATAAGTTATTGATTTCTCAGTTGATTCAGATCTCAATAACAGATCTGAATAATATAGTTACATTTTGCAATGAAATAAAAAAATAAGCAGTTGATATTTGCTATAGTCGACTTTACGTGAGTGCATGACATGTATGCGGATAAAGTTGGGTATAATATATATCCAATTTTATATATAGAGCTGTGTGATAAAGTTTATATTTATTTACGATATAAACAATCACAGAGTTAAGATTTGTTATATAGTATTGGTATGCAGGTAAAGTAAGATGTACTATACACTCACCTAAAGGATTATTAGGAACACCTGTTCAATTTTTCATTAATGCAATTATCTAATCAACCAATCACATGGCAGTTGCTTCAATGCATTTAGGGGTGTGGTCCTGGTCAAGACAATCTCCTGAACTCCAAACTGAATGTCGGAATGGGAAAGAAAGGCGATTTAAGCAATTTTGAGTGTGGCATGGTTGTTGGTGCCAGACAGGCCAGTCTGAGTATTTCACAATCTGCTCAGTTACTGGGATTTTCATGCACAACCATTTCTAGGGTTTACAAAGAATGGTGTGAAAAGGGAAAAACATCCAGTATGCGGCAGTCCTGTGGGTGGAAATGCCTTGTTGATGCTAGATGTCAGAGGAGAATGGGCCGACTGATTCAAGCTGATAGAAGAGCAACTTTGACTGAAATAACCACTCGTTACAACCGATGTATGCAGCAAAGCATTTGTGAAGCCACAACACGCACAACCTTGAGGCGGATGGGCTACAACAGTAGAAAACCCCACCGGGTGCCACTCATCTCCACTTCAAATAGGAAAAAGAGGCTAAAATTTGCAAGAGCTCGCCAAAATTGGACAGTTGAAGACTGGAAAAATGTTGCCTGGTCTGATGAGCCTTTCTGTTGACACATTCAGATGGTAGAGTCAGAATTTGGCGTAAACAGAACGAGAACATGGATCCATCATGCCTTGTTACCACTGTGCAGGCTGGTGTTGGTGGTGTAATGGTGTGGGGGATGTTTGCATGGCACTCTTTAGGCCCCTTAGTGCCAATTGGGCATCGTTTAGATACCACGGCCTACCTGAGCATTGTTTCTGACCATGTCCATTCCTTTATGGCCACCATACCCATCCTCTGATGGCTACTTCCAGGAGGATAATGCACCATGTCACAAAGCTCAAATCATTATTTCAAATTGGTTTCTTGCACATGACAATGAGTTCACTGAACTAAAATGGCCCATACAGTCACCAGATCTCAACCCAATAGAGCATCTATGTGGAGCTTCGCGTCCTGGATGTGCATCCCACAAATCTCCATCAACTGCAAGATGCTATCCTATCAATATGGGCCAACATTTCTAAAGAATGCTTTCAGCACCTTGTTGAATCAATGCCACGTGGAATTAAGGCAGTTCTGAAGGCGAAAGGTGGTCAAACACAATATTAGTATGGTGTTCCTAAAAATTCTTTAGGTGAGTGTACTGTATATCCTTTTGTACCTTTTAATATATCACCAGGTAGTTTACATTTTTCAACAATGAAACAATCAAACAGTTAAGATTTGCTATATAGTAAATACTGTATTGCAAATCTTAACTGCTAGAAAATGATATATACAGTATACTGAAAGATCAGAATCAGATTTTCATGAGACCTAGAAAAATTGCTAGAAATAAAAATAAAACCCTTTAACAGACTGCGCTGTTTAGGGAGGCCGCCTTACCTGTGTGATGGGTATCTGAGGTGAGACCGCAGGTGGTAGCGTGGGAGCTGGCTGCTGTAGGCTGATATTAGGTGAGGGGACGGGGCCAGTGTGCTGGGCAGGTGGGGAGGGAGGGACGTGACTGGCAGCACTGATGCCCAAGTGTGTCAGATTGGTGGTCAGGTTGCTGGTACAACTGGAGCTGGACGTAGGAAAGGTTATTGGGTCATCAAGATCCAGCGGGGTGGGGAGAGGAGGAGGGAACTGAATGTTTGTCAGATCAGGTAAGGAGCCGCCTGTGCTGTGAGCAGCTGGCATCAAAGAGCTATTCATTTCTTGATCAGGAGATGGAAATATGCTGGAAAAATGAAACAGAATATGCTGTGAATACCCTCCATCTCATGAAACTATATATTTATATTAATATACTGTATATTTTGCTGGACGAAAACACTATATATTTTAAATTTACCATTAAGAGGTTAAAGGTTAAAGTTAGCTTAATTTTACTTAATTGTCTTGAAATTAAGATTTGATACAACAAAGCACAATTCGTCCCAACCCAAATCTCATAAAATTGTCATTTTTTATCATTATTTAAACCACAGTTATCCTAACCCTAACCCTAAAACTAAACTTTCGTTCCTTAAAATATTGAAATAAAAATAAAATATTTAAATATAATGATTTTTTCAGCTAGATGCCATCTCAATATCTCAACTAAAAACAACACTGATCAAAATGCAATTTCAAATGAACAATTATATAAAGACAGTTTAAAATACTTTCAAATCGATATAGTTTAGTTTTAATTTACCAGCCATTAAACATTTCCTCATGGCTATAAAATAATATTTTACATCTATCATAAAGACCTACAGTATTGTGGATTTGTTTCTTATTGTTTGGTTATGGTCACATGAAAGCAAAAAACAAAACTAGGCATCATGTAAAAATTGCAGTTTGCTCCAAGGGTTAAATATTTTAGAACAAATCATGACAGGTTGTACAGTATGTCTAAATCTCTCATTTCACAGAGTATAATTCTGACAGTTCAATTAAAACCATGTACTATTTCAGCTCCTAATAAAGTTACTTGACAAATGGCCACCGCAAACTATATTTTATTATTTAATTAAAAAAGTGTTACCCCATTTTGGCACATGGTGAGTAGGCAAGGCAAGGCAAGTTTATTTATATAGCACATTTCAGACACAATGGTAATTCAAAGTGCGTTACATAGAAGAAATTAAAATAATCAAAAGAAATCAAAATAATTAAAACAGTTTAGAATCTTTTAAAAAATGTAATTAAATACAGTAACAGTCAGACGAACAGTGGCACAGTGCTCATTCAGTAAATGGATAGCTAAACAGAAGTGTTTTGAGTCTGGATTTGAATGTGACTAGGAGCACACCTGATCTCCTCTGGAAACTGGTTCCAGCTACACCTGGCATAAAAAAGCGGACTAGCCATGCTTTGAGTGAACCCTTGGTTTTTCTAACTGATATGATCCTAATGATCTGTTATATATTCTGGTATATATTCAGTGAACATATCTGTAATATATTGAGGTCCTAGCCCATTGAATGATTTATATACCAGTAATAATACTTTAAAATCAATCCTAAATGTGACTGGGAACCAGTGTAAAGACCTGACTTGACATGACTCTAGAGACACACCAAGATTCCTGACTTGATTTTTAGTTGTTTGACTCCTAGACTGAAGGTATGCGTTCACCTTGAGAACTTCATCTTTGTTTCCAAACGCAATGACTTCAGTTTTGTCTTTGTTTAACTGAAGAAAGTTTTGGCACAGCCAACTGTTTACTTCATCAATGCATTGGCACAGGGAGTGAATGGGGCTGTAGTCGTTAGGTGATTGGGCTAAGTAGAGCTGTGTGTCGTCTGCATAGCTGTGTAATCGATTTGGTTCTCTCTCATTATTTGGCTCATTGGGAGTATATACAGGTTGAACAGGAGTGGCGCAAGAATTGAGGCCTGAGGGACTCCGCAAGTCATGGATGTCCATTCAGACTTATGTTCTCCCATACTCACATAATAACCTCTCCCTTCTAAGTATGACCTGAACCATTTTAGGACTATCCCAGAAAGCCTGTCAAGAAGTATGTCATGATCAACAGTGTCAAATGCAGCACTGAGGTCGAGTAGTACCAACACGGATAATTTGCCTGTTTCAGTATTTAAGATGAGCGCTGTCTCCGTGCTGTGATGCGATCGGAAACCAGATTGAAAATTGTCATAGTATCCATTCGAGTTTAAGAATTTATTCAGCTGATTCTTGAAGACAACTTTTTCAATGATCTTGCCTATGAAAGGAAGATTTGAGATTGGTCTATAATTGCTTAAGATGGTTTCATCCAGATTGCTCTTTTTCAGGATGTGCTTGGCAACTGCAGTTTTCAGGGAGTTTGGAAAACTCCCAGAGAGAAGTGAGGCATTTACCACTTCTAGGAGATCTGCTTCTAAGCTGTGTAACACATTTTTGAAAAAAGATTGGGTAAGTAGTGCGTCAAGGCCGCAGGTTGATGTTTTAAGGTGCTGTACCGTTTCTACAAAAATTTTGCCATCAATTTCTTCAAAAACAGACATAGTAATAATTACTTTCTCAGGTTGTGGTCTGATCTGCCTGACCCCAGAGCAACTCAAGGATGTGCTGATCACCTTTCTGATATTATTGATTTTCTCAGAGAAGAAAGAAGCAAACTTACTGCACTTGCTTTCTGAGAGCATTTCTTGAAAATCAAGATCCAAAATTTGGATCTAAAGTTCATTTTGGATAAGTTAATAAGGTTAAGTTAGTAAGATAATTTTTGGATCTAAAGTTGCTGTCACACCTCCTTTTCTCTACTGATGTTAAATCAAAGATTATTCAAGTGTTACATGTCTGTCCAGAACACAGGTAAAATAATAATAATAAATAAATACATAAAAAACTCACTTAATCCCAGGAACATCACATGACTCTGTATGCAGAGATGCGTTGGGCTCGTCTTTCTCCATCTCTGACTCAGTGTCCTCTGTATCTGGAGGGGTGAGCAACAGCACTGAAGAAAGAGGGAGATGGAGAGGAGGATGAACTCCAACTAGTCATTGTAAATGAGGAAAAACAATATCTTATAATTACATGACAAATAGAGTGTCCATGATAAAGAAAGAGAAAAATATTTACAAAACACATGATAAGAAATGTTCTGGTTTTGTGTGTGTGTGTGTGTGTGTGTTTAACCGTTATACAATTTTCAAGAAATGTTTCAATTGAATTAGTAAAAATAAACAGTAATAAAATATTTCCTGTCCATGTGAGTGTGAATAATCTTAATCATTTTGTACAAACACAGACTGTGTCATATACTACCTTTATAATAGCATAATAGTGACACTTTAAATATACTAAAAAGCAGAGAATAACTTTTATTTTAAAATATCTAAATAAAATAATAAAAAGATATGCCAAATGTATCAACTTCTTCTGAAGATTTTTTAATTTTAATTCTAATGAGGGAAAGTTTTGATATCAGGCCAGTTGTATCACCCTTTAAAATATATTTTTTTTAATTTACACACTACAAACATATCAAAATTTATTCTAATTCCACTTCACATGTATCTTCACAAATAAAAAAAAAACTCCCAAATTCTTACATGTTTTCACTCCTTTTGACTGCAATTCTTGAGATCCACCAACAAAAGTGTCCTGTTGAGCTGGATTCACAGCGCTCTGGTGTAGAGCTGAGTCAGAGTTGGTCCTGTAGTAGAGTTGAGAACAGAAGAAACAATGATTTATGACATTTGAACATGTTTTGTTTCATAGTTTGTGAGGAAAAATGCTTTACCTCCTCCAACTTGTGTCGGGAGGTGGAGACAGATATACCGAGCTGTAGGGGCAGCTGTCAATGTAACTGGGCTAAGGACAATGTCTCACACATGTACACGCACGTAAAACACACCACAGTCGGGTAAAACTAGCTGTGTATGGTAAAGGATATCTGACGTCCATGCTTGTCCACAGAGAGAGGTCTACGATGAGGAGAAGCGATGCGATTCCTGTCACGATACACGCGGTCCACCAGGCCATGATGTCGGGACGTCCGACTGGTGTCTAGAACTGTCGACTGTAAAATAATCTGATTTGTTTAAGTCGTCTTCTAAGATGCATTTTCTTTACAAAAGGTATGGGAACTTTTACTGGAGTGTGGGGCAAATAAAAGCATTAAACAGGCTCCACACAGAAGATGGACTAGCAGTATGAAAGCTTAGAGCGATGAGAACCATCTTGTACATTCTTATGCTAACGTATCATAAATGAATAGCAATGATAAAATGATACTTGAAATGACACTTGTGCAAATGTATGTTTCCATCAGCTTTGTTACATTTAACTAATTCATTAAATAGACATTCCTTAGGACAACCAATAATATAATATGAATCTTTGGTTAGTAATTTGCTTTCGGTGTGGGTGTTCTGGGCTTTTCCTACAATACAGCGCATTTTCATGTCTCCATCATATATAAAGTAGTGTTCCCAAAAACTATTTGGTAAGTAAGTTGTCCGAACGTCTTTGGACTATATATCAGTCAAAGCAAGTATAGAATAAACATACTTTTCAAACATTTCACAAAAATATGTTTTTCTTTTATCATAATATAACAATTAATATCCCCAAGTGATTATGAACATAAAACATGGTAAACGTATTAAGAAACATTTCAGATATTTCTTCGGTAGCTCTCCATTGCGTAGCTACGCAGCGGGAACTCCTCCCTTCTTCATTTAAAAAAAAATATTTTGTGCAAACGCCAACTTGGAACAGCTGGCCAATTGTCGCGAAGTATGCAATACTGACAGGCTCACGGGCAGTACAAAATGCATGGGTGTGACAATCAGTGTTGGGGAGTAGTTAACTACAAGTAGCGACGCTACTAACTTAACTACATTTTTCAGTAGCTTGGCAGTAGCTCAGTTTCTTTTTAAACAGTGTAGCTTTTCCAGTAGCTTTTCCACTTTTTGCATCAAGTAGTGGTGTAGCGCGAGCAAAAGCTACATTGCGTTTCTCGAGCCTGCGCAAATCAGCGCGATACAAGGATATTCTTCTTCGTATTAGATTACAAACTCATTTTTTTTTTTGCCATTACCGCCACCTGTTGTTTAATCACGCGTCTTGCGGCTAACGGTTCACTGACGTACAGAAGTGTGTTGACACACCCATATTATGATTATCCATGATGGAGCAAGACGTGACGGCAGATTTGGAGGATGGAGAAACAATTAACGTTAATTACCCATGGCCTTATTTTTCCAAGTTCAATCTGTATTTTTGAGAAAATGTTATACATGCAATTTACTTTGGATGTATATTTTGTTCTTGCAATGTTGTAGGCTATTTGTTGCAATTTTGCACTTTTGACAAACATTTGAGTGTTGTGTGAAATAAAACAATACTCTTTGAAATCATAATTGTATTGCATTATTTTAAACACTAAATATTTTACTTAAAACTTTCCTCAGACACTTATTCAGTTATTTATAATATACGTTGTTCAAAAAAGCAAAAGTAGTTTCAATGTAGCTAGCTACTTTTTGATAGTAACTTGTAGTGTAGCTAACTACTTTTCCAAAAGGGTAGCTTGACTGTAGTTTAACTACTTAACGTACGAGTTGCTTGTAGCTTGTCAAACTACAGTTTCAGAAAAGCTTCCCCAACACTGACGACAATTGCATCAGAATTGCAAAGAAAGTTGCACCTAAGGACTAGTTATCTTTTCTTTCTCGCATACTACGGCTAACTTTAGCAGGATTTTTGCGGGCCCCATCGACCCGCCCCACACGAGTACTGTGCCGGCTGCCTGGGCCTGGCCCACGACAAGATGGCCTTCTTGGACTCCACGTGCGTGCACTGTGCTGACCTGCCGGTGCAAACTCGAGAGGGTTTTTCCCATTACAGGGTCGAGGCCCAGAAATGATGGTGACGATGAGGCCTGGGGCCATAGTCCTCTGCCGTCGCCACACAACGGTTCTTTTCATGGACCCGCTGGACTTGACACGAAATGCTCCGGTAAAAAGGAGGTAAGTCTGGTAACTGTAGTCTCCGTTGGAGGACTCCGTTCTTCCACGACCACGTGGTAAAGGGATGCGGCGTGTGTCCAAAGGAACGAGGCGGAAGCTCACGTTTCTCTGCGCATGCCCACCGTCGAGGAGACTGTCGATGTGCATCTGTGCCCGTCCGTTCGTCTCTGGCTGCGGATCTCAGCTTGCAGTCTGTGTAAGTTCACGGCTCATCTGGTTGAAAAAAGAAAGGCTCCAATCACATCCTCCGCCCTCCTTGGTGACGCCGTGGAGTCAGTTGCTGAGCATTTCTCCATCACGAATATTGCTCTCTCACGTGTTCCAGCACTCGCCGAGGTCCCTCTCTTCGTCGGCACCTCATCCTGCTTAAAATCGGCTGAGCCGGATGTTCGCCATAGGCTGTTGCGGAACAGGGAATGTAGCATCAGAGACCACAGAGAGCGGCGTCCTTGGCAGCCAAGCCTTCATTCTATGGACTATCCAAAAGGAGGAAAGGAGGACAGAGTTTGTTGGAGGCCCCACACCCAAGCACTGTGTTCTGCATCATGTCTCCTCTGTTCTTGTTGGTGACATTTGCAATATTTGTGTGCTGTTTGTATGAGCTCCACAATAAGAGCACATATCCCTTCAACAAAGGGCCTTTTCCTCCTTATACACTCAACACTGTCTCACTCACCCTGCCCCAGAGAAACACAGAGTTGCAGTCTGTGCCTGTAATGGCCTTCCGATGGAAAAACACGAGAGTGCCAATGTTCCCCCACCATGTACGACGCCAGCCAGCCTGGCTGGGGCAGGGCACCAGTCTACAAACTGGCCATAGAACTAATACGACCGCGGTGTCATTTTCTAGACGCGTGTACAGTTATTCCAGGAGTTTCACCTTGGCTACTGGGGATAATTCAACACAGGTATTCTCCTCAGTCCAGACGCAGACCACCCCGAGTCAGTCGTGTGGCTGTCACTGACTTTGCCTCAAAATGCCCCGTTCTGAGAATAGAAATGCACAGCCGCTATTTCGTGGTCCCCAAGAGGGATGGAGGACTCCGTCTGATACTGGACCCGATACCCGTCAACCAAGCACTTCACTAGCGCACGTTCAGGAGGAAAGACCCCCTTAACATGAGCTCACTTGTTGAGGTCATTCGCCTCTTCATGGGCCATGCAAGCGCGTCTTTAGGGTTGTATGTTTTGCTACCGGCTGATCTACACAGAACAATGCTTTCGGTAAATGATTATCCTCAATTAATTTTCTAGTCTTAAGTCCTGACTACGGATTTGTGCAGTCGTTGCACAAGTTCAGTCACTGTAGATACTGATTTGTGTTTATGTTGTTATGTTGGCCTGTATCCTTCAGTGCAACTAGCTATTCTGATCTAACTGCGTATATTCACAGTTGTCACTGTTACGGCTGTTGACACTGTGGCGAAAGGGGGCCGTGGTTCAGCAAAGTCTGTAGCGGGAGAGAGGCAGGAGCTGAGTGGTAATTAGGTCAAGTGCAGATGACTAACACCTGTGTCTGATTGAGGTGATTGGAGCGGAGAGACCAGATAAAAGCCAGCAGGAACGAGCGAGAGGGAGAGAGAGCTGGACTGGGAACTCGTGTACTGCCTTCAGTGCTGCCGTGGGATCTAGCTCTAGTTTTGAGGGCTCAATCCCTACCACCTTTCAAGCTCTTGGTTTCGATTGCAATTAAGGAGCTCTACCCAAATTTTATTTTTAACGGCTCTGCTCCATGCCTTTGCTTCAGCTAAGTGCGTTGGATACTTACACGTGTTCTCATGGACAGTGATATTATCTGTTTCGGACCTGGCGACTGCACTGTTACTCTTCGGCTGACATGGGGCTACGTACCTTTCCAACGTTACACAAGTGTTTCCCTGCCCGTTTATCTGCTGAGCTATCACATGACGCTGACGCTCAGAGCACTGTTTGCCATTTAACATGGCCTTGCGGGTGTATGTGAATCGTGCGGCTGCCTTCCTTCAGTTGGGCCATACTTGAGTGCTTGTGTTGTCTGCCCTGGATCAGTACAGCCTTCGCGTTCATTGCACTTGTATATGCACATTTTGATAGGGTCGGGGATAACGTCTCATTGGTTGCGTGGCTATTGGCTGGCTGTCTGTCTCTTCCGTGGCTGGTGTAGCTTGGCCCCCGTTTTTCCCCAGGTTTATCTTCACTACTCTTACAACGGGATTTAATACAGTTCCCAGAGCGTAGCCACACAATGTAGAGTTACTGTTCTCGAAAGGGAACGTCTCTTTTTGATGAGGGTCCCCGTAAGCAGAGTCTTAAATGAGTTAAAAAGTTAAATGAACGTAAAGAGTTGTGAGAAAACAGGGTGTCAAATCCGCTTCATGTGTATCAGTTATTAAAGTGACAGCAGCCTAATAAACCTGCTGCGGTCTGTCATTAATGTGTTCATTTTCTGTATATTTAACTGTAAGACCTACCGCACATGGAAATCTTGAATCACTGTTTAAAGGTTAAGGTTACATGGGTCAAAACCAATGAAAGGGTACGTAAAAGTCTGAACTGGCCAGACTGGTCCGGTAGAAATAAAATCCTAGTATTGAGCCCAAATATATTAAAAGCACATCTAAATGTGACATTTATTACAATGGGTTTATGTGAAGATTGTAAGTTCACTTAAAGAAAAAGTGTTGTTTTTTTACAGCCTATTCAATTATCTTCTAATGTTGAATGGCTATACCCTGGTGAAAAAATAAATATACCAAAATGTATTAGAAATACATTTACATATATGAACTTGTATTATATGTATTATAAATACCCTGGAATTGTACTTTTGGTATGGTTAAAGTGTTAAATTGGAACAACTAATTTTGTTTTAGTTATCCGGAAATAGTGTTGAGGTCCAACTTAAGATATACTTAAGTGCATTTGATTGTGCTAAATTGGAAAGAATGTATTAAGCTAGAATAAATGTCAGGGTTCTGGCCTGGCAGCTTTGTCTGTGTTGTCTTTGTTTCAGGCTGCGTTAATACTTGCCATTAACATTTGATCACCGTGATCCGATCAAGCAGATTGGATCATAAGCCAATTAGGACACGGTGCATTTACACCTGTCCCCATCACCATCAGGTAAACGTGATTTAACCAAGTACCACATGTTCCTGGATCAACATCGTTGTTGATCCTGGATCAACTTTCCAATCAACCAATCAGATTTGAGGGACAAGTTTACAGTTCATGCCAAGTTTAGGCTTAGAACTAGAGTGAAGTACTTAAACATCAGTGTTATTACCCTTTCATTACCCTCTGATTTTAGGGAAAAGTTATGGATAGGGTAAGGTTTATGGGTGGGGATAGGGTAATGACTACATTTTGGGACAGGAATGTTGATCCAGGACCATGTCTTACTTGCCAAAAACATGGCGACCGTCCACATCAATTGGCTTCTGTATCTGGATCGCAGATTGGATCGAAAAAGTTCTGGTGCAAAGTTGAAGTGGTGGGTTTTCTTCTAAAAACCGTTTTCAGTCAGGGTACATTTTACAAATATCGCAAAATGAGGAGGATGAAGAGCAAGTACTAATAATAATATGGATAGATGCTGTAATGGAAACGGTAAACGTATCCGAGGAGATTGCCGGCCGTGGTGGGAAAAATGCGTTTTCTAGAATATTTGCGATGTACTTCGCACTCGACTCACACAGCTACGTACAGCAGTTCCTGGAGAGGAGGGGGAATAATGACAGAGGGTGGGGTTTTGTATGACGTCCACCTGTGAATGCAGAAACGATGGCTGGATTGAGTTTACATTACATTGAGATCCGATCACAATGAGTCGTCAACTACCTCCGAACCTGGGGCCTATACCATGAAGCCGTATGTTTCAGTTTAGTTTGCGCCAACCCTGGGTTTTAGGCACAATGAAAGTGGTTTGGCTTTTAGCAGAACGGCTAACCTGGTCTAGGGTTATATTCCAGGTAAGAGGTTGCAAAACCAAATTGGACCAATCAGCTGTGAGCAAAGTGACACATGTCACTCTGATGCAATAAAGTCACTCCACTGGTTTCTACTCCAAAACAGGATTCTCTCATACCTTCATCAACTGTATTAACTAACTTTTACTTGCACTGTTATACAGTAGCAAGACCTTTTCTTTTAGTTGTGCTCCGGCTGTTTCATAGACAGCTATTTTCTTCTTGCTGTGTAAATTTGTTTTAATTCTTAATATTTTAATACTTTTAAGCCTGGTTCACACGGCAGGATTATTAGGGCGATTTTAGCCCCGATTCACCCCTTCCGACAATCTTAAGGATGCTCAGATTATCGTAAAATAATCTGATCAGATATTCCTGCCGTGTGTGGTGTTAAGACTGCTCTCTTCTGCTCGGAAGGATGCCGGGACCGCTCAGATCTCAAATCGGGGATATCCAACATGTTGGATTTTTTTGCCCCCCATTTCTCCTCGTGTGTGGTGTCCCCCGGGGACGAACGAGCACGCAACCTGTGAACTGTGGCGTGTAGCCAAACAGAAAGCAAGGTGACGAGGCGCAGAGGAAGCACCTGCGGGAAACAAAATCAAAACAGCTGGCGCCCGGCGGTATGGCGCACCAGAAAGTCCGGTGGACGTTTTTTTTTTTTCCGTTAAAAACAAACTACACACTATTGCCACTGCATCCTCTTCGTCCGCCATGATTGTTTACTCTGAAGTCACGTTTGATCTCGAGGGATTTTGCGAGATTTTCTGTCTGAGTCTGACTTGGGAATGCTCGGGAATCAAATCGGTTCGTGTGTGATGTGTTGATTTTGCCGTGTTATATTACGATATTTAAATATATTTAAAACTTTAATGTTAGGTTTGATTAATCGAGATTACAGAAACATGGGATTGTTTTTTTTTTTAAATACACTCATGTTGGCTAATGCTCAATATCTCACTGAGTAATGACTAACTTTAGTGCTTATATCCATCGTGTTATTTCATATGGTTAATTTTCTTACCAGTTGTCAATAATCAAGCTATAATTACTAGAGTAAAAGTGTCTCAAAGCATTTAAGTACATCACAAGCAAATTTTTTTTTATTTAGTTAGCTGAAAAGGTACTGCATAAGAGTAATGACTCATCTCGCACTATGAGTTTCATCAGTTATGATGTTCATATAATTGTGATTAGATAAGCTAAAGGCAAATTCAATCATAAAGTGACAACATATGTGTACGACAGAATTTTCAAACTTATGAAGTTTCTAAGGTCTCACCTGAAAAGGGAGGTCAGTGTTGCTATTTCCAATCTGATTGACATTGGGCAGTGACCCTCCATAGCACTGAGCTCGATTCTGGCCTAGTTGCAAATACTGGGTCTTCTGTAACTGCAGCTGTGCAAAATAACAGTGCGTGAAAAGCAGCAGTGAATGACGAAATGAAAGCATGAATGAAACGTAAACCAGATACTGGGGAGTCAAAACACTTTAACAAGAGAAGAATGAGAAAAGCAGACCAGTGAGAGTTAACAAAAAGTAGCAGAATATGGGTTTCAACTTATGTGACTCACACTATTGTCATAAGTTCAATGCCAAGGGACATACTAATAGGCCAGGGCTAAATGCCAGACATTTTCCTCCTGTGAATATTTCTTTATTTTCAAAAGTTAAACTCGAAGTCATGACTAAAATAAGTTTAGAACATTTCACAGAAAAACAACAACAGTTTGTTTAACTTATGTTGACCAAAAGTGGGGCAAGTTGTCACAGCATACCGTTTATTGACAATTTGAGAAGAAGAAATGTATAAAACCCTATCAAATAAAAGTAAAAAGGCACATGCAACAACTTAAGTTAGGTAATCAGTCATTTATAAAAAATAACACGAATCATTATGGAACAATAATACAAATGGAAAAGTGCCATACAAAAAAAATAAATAAATACCAAAACCATTGTTTTGGTCAAATTATAGGCCTAATGAAAAGAAAAGAAAAGAAAAAAAAGAAAGAAAATAAAACACGTGACAACATTCCCTGACTTGACATTTATGAAAAATACCAATATCTATCCAGTTATATTTTAGCATCATTGATATAATATTAAGGATTTTAATATTTTGAATTAGATGTTTTCATTTTAAAGTTTTAGTAATAGTCTTTTCTATTTTTGTCTTTTGTCTTAGTTTTTTTTATTTGTATGTCTATAGTTTTTATTATAATTTCAAGTAAAAATAAATAAATAAATGTTGCCTTGGCAACAAGCTAAAGTAAGCCTACATAATATTTAAATCCTAGTTGGATAGTTAAATATACAAAACTGCTACAATACACACGTGTAGACTTTTAACTCAAAACCAAAAACTGATATAGCCAACATGTTTTGTGACAACTTGCCCATATGACAACTATCCACGGTCTACTCTATTTGACATTTCATTATTTAGACCGAAAAGCAATCACACTCCATTAGCGGCCGGACAGATGTGCACGACATCTGTCCGGCCGCATCCTCAGCATCTCTGAGCTCATGCATCCGAACGGCCTCCCGTTACGCTCAAACCCTGAGACATCATTATCGTCCTTCACTGATTTTTGTCACGGCTCTCGGTCGACAAAAGTGTTCTCAAATCATATACAGGCTATAATCTATCCATAGCAGCTGTGCTAAGCGCGCGTTTAACCGCGACACACGTATCCGTTTCTGACACACGTACCCGTGCAGCTCGCGTGATGCTCAGGTCTTTCATGACCTCCTCAAACGCCGCGGTCTCCTCCGCTTGTTTCTGGTTGTGGAGGGCGATTTTCTCGCTAAATTTTCGCGGATTGTTTGAGGTCGCCATCTTCCGTTCTTCTCCAAAACACAGAGCGTTGCGTGAGACGCGTTGTGCGCTGCTGCGGCGGCGTCATCACGGGAAGAGTTGTGGGCATTGGAGTCCAGAGACAGTCCACTGGAGGAGCGCCTGATTGACAAAACAAACAAGCAAGCCCACCAGAATCTTCACTAACGTTAGACGAGTCGATATGTTTTTAAATGAACTAGTTTCAAGTGTTGATAGAAGGCGTTTGTGATGATGAATGTTTTAGAACATATCTAACGTTAGGCATACAATGGTTGTTTCAGGCAGCTATAACCAATACAAATAAATGTAAAATTTATATTGAGATTTTGGCTATAAAAAAAAAAAGTAGTAATTTAATTTTGCTCACCTCAAGTTTCATTATCAGTGTTTTTTTGTTGTTGTTGTTAATGTTATTTGATAAATATCGCAAAATAAAGGGTTTACCCTAAATTGTTTTACATTTTTGCAACAGAAAATAGGAGCCTATAAAGTTCTGTTTTGCACACAGCAATAACAACAGTAGGCCTACATAATAAGTAAAAAAACTTGATATACTTGCAAAAACGTTATTTTGTAATAGTAACACTGAAATTGAGAACACAAATGTGTGTGTTTTATTTAGATCACACTTTAGGTCACAACACAGCAGATGGATAAAAACAAAAACACAATTTCACACATGGAAGACAAACTGTAAAAGAATAACTGCAAAAGTGCTATCAATATAATACATATGTTTTCTTTTTTTTTAAAGAAACTATACAAGTACATTTACATAAGAATGATAACAGAATTAGTTTTTTTTAGACTGAAAGCTGCTTGGGTTGAAATTGTTGTTCACATAGTCAGAACTTCTAACATGTAAATTAAGGCTGATCTGAGGTACAGTACAAGATAAAGGCCATTTGTTCATGTGTAAAGACCCAGCTAACTTACTCCAAAGTATTGCCAGATGCTGTCCAGCTTTACATCTTGGGGGTAAATGAATCCTGAGCTAAGGGTGACAAGTCATTTACAGCTGTAACCTTGGTAAATCAACCATCTGTATACATTACATACACAGAATGTAATTTGTGTTGTTGGAAAGAATGGGTCTCATTCACAAAGCCTGCTGACTTCCCATAACACCAGATGTACTTGTTACATCGTAAGAAGGGTATTTATGCTAGTATCAGTCTATCTCATCCTTATCCCGAGGTTACCGTAGATCCGCCAGATCCGGGTCGTATCCAGATCAGATGGTGGACCTGCACCTAGTCACAACCTCATCGCGGACCCGTATGTCAGCGGATACCGTGTATCGCTCAGATTCACAGCCCACAAGGCACAAAGACCACAAGAACATGTCCTCTGCACACTGTTTTCTACAGAGCTGCTTTAGCTTTAGCTGAATTGAACTCATTTTATCATTGTCTTGTCGAATTCTGTTCGCATCATTAAATCGTTAATTTCCTGTTTTTCACTGTAATGCTGCTTTGAAACAATTTGTATTGTATAAAGTATAGTACAAAGTTGACTTGAAATGACTATAATTATATTGCATTACATTATATTTTATATAAAACAACATAATACAACTAATAAACAGCTTTAAAGTGATAAACAGGAAAATAATTGATGCAAACAGAACTAATCTTAAATATATTCATTAAATATAATGAAAGGTCAAATCTGGGTCTGTATAAAAGTTGTGTTTGTTATTGTGTTTGAACTGGTTTTGAGAATGACACTTGGCATTGCTTGAGGATCTGGCGAGTGAGGAAAAGCTCTAAAGAAAAGGCTGTGCTGAAAGCCCTTATATGGAGATGGTTTAGGCGTATTTTATGCAAATGACTAACCTTGTGCACATGGCGGATCATTTAGAATAATCCAAATTCACTAACATTAGAATGGGATTAAAACAAATTAATGTGTGCACTAAGAACGTCTTGTTAACTAGGTGGAAATTGATCTTGAAAAGTGCGAACAAATACGAAATAATCCACGCAATTATTAGTGAATGGGACCCACTGTTTCTGACATCTTAAAGGGTTGGGTCACTCAAAACTATACATTCTGTCATTAATTACTCACCCTCTTGTCATTCCAAACCCATAAGACTTTCAATTATCTTCAGAACACAAATGATGATTTTTTGAGGGCATTCTATGTGCAGGGCATTGGTAGCTAGCCAACAACCACTTTGACGCTTCAAAAAGCTTGTAGTGATCGTAAAACTAATCCATATCAATTGAATGAATTAATTTAGGCTTTTATCCACATATAAACATTGATAAGTGAACATAAAACACAAGCTCAACTGATCCTGCATCACACACGAGAACAAACCTCATTGGTTCTTGCTAGTCAAGCGAACACACTTGAGCTTCCGTTTACCACAACTGATGAATATTTATACTTGAAGAGAAGCCTAAATTAAATCTGTGATTGTGTCTCTTCTCTTCAGTGAAAATCAAAACCACTCAGTTCATATGGATTAGCTTTGCAATCTTTTTTTCAGATTTCATCAGAAAGATCTTCGTGTGTTCCGAAGTCTTGCAGGTATGGTGAGTAATTATTGACCGAATTTTCACTTTTGGCTGAACCATCCCTTTTCAAAGAATTTAGGGGGAAAAGCATCAACACAAATGTAATAAAACACACCAGCATACTATAAATGCACAAAAAAAACAGTTGTAGTTTTAGAATGCAGGGCTTTTTTACACATTCAAATTACATGCTCACACAATATCATGACAAAAAATTGTGCTGTAGTTCCAAGATCCAGTCACCTGACATACTGTAATGTAACCTTGTAAAAACATGGTTTTAGTCATTAAATCACTAATTTGAACATTCAAGTGCCTAATGAAATGTGCTTGCTTAGTTTGTGCAAGAAAAAAAAAACTTTATGTAGGTTAAAAACATTATATATTATGATGTTGGTCCATTCAAGTGTGTCGTCAACGCAAATCCCACAGGCACTTGTCAGAAACCCTCATTAGTAAAAAAATGGGGCAATCTACAAGAAGGCCCAAAAACAACATTAATGCTTGAGTGGTGTGTAGAAAGATGCTTCACATTCTCAAAAATGTTTGTACTTTCATGTCATTAACATGAACAGGCCTTAAATCATGTAAGCAAATGTAAGAATATGTGCTTAGCGCTGAGTGGTTGTTTGGGGAAGTATAATAGGTGTACAAGCTATTCCTGCAAAAGATTCTGGAAAATGAAGATCCCTTTCCCACTCATCCGTCTCTGTATTATAAACTTGCACGATACTCGTGACGTTATTTAGGTGCCAATTGTATCCTCCAACTATATAGATCTTTTTATCCAGCAAGCAGCAGCCGGCCTCCGACTGACCAGCACGCATCGGACTGACTGTTGTCCATTGATCGGTCTCTGGAATGTAAAACTCTACGGCTAGGACATCAAAGCAGCGGTCAACATGGTCCATTCTGCCACCGAGAGCATAAATGCGGTTGTTGACGCTGATCATAGCATGCAGGACTCTCGGCTCGTTCATGGGACACTTGAAATCCCACTGATCCAAGGCTGGATCATAGCAATGAAGAGTCTTCTTATCCTCCACAGACACCCCATAACCTCCGGACACGTAGAGTTTCTCTCCACATGTAGCTCCGGCGTGACCCCAGATTCTCCTCTTCAGGGAATCCACATAAATCCACTCATTTTTCCTCGGACAATAGCACTCTACAGAGGACAAGCTGCCGGATCTGTTGCGTCCCCCTGTAGCATAAAGTTGTCCATGAAGTACATTAAGCTGAAACTGAATGCGGCTCTCCTGCATAGGTTGGATTCGAAGCCACTGGTTCAGATGGGGGTCATAGCGGAAGCAAATGTCAACTGCGCCCTCTCCACTGCGATATTGCAAATGCTGCCCGCCTACGACGTACACAAAATTGTCGAGAACCGACACGCATGCGTGGCTGCATCCCATCTCCATTTCGGTCAACTCTTTGAACTGTCGCACAGTGATGTCGGCCAGATAGTAAACTTTGCCGCTTACGGTGCGATCGTTGTCGGTGTACGGGGTTCCACCAAAAGTAATGAGCGACATAACGTCTGAGCGGATGGAAGTCCGAGGTGATTGCATTTCGTGCTGTCGGAATGGAAGGATCTGGTAATTGAAGGCTTCTAGGAGAAAGTGTCGACATTGCACATCCTCCACCATGATGTCGACCGTTTGGACGCTATCCACAAGCTCAGACGATCGCATTAGGGGGAAGCGCACGTGACGGAGCACTTCGCTGGCAGCAGATCGTCTGGACGCGTCATGCTGCAGCCAGCGGATCGCTGCGCGGAACAAGTCGATCTCGCTGCAGTTCTTCAACTTGTTGCTCTGAAGGAAGAAAACCAGTCGTTCTATGGGAATGTGAAGGAAATCCTCCTCCTGTGCTATCTGCAGGAAGTGACGGAACGTGTAAGCGTCGACCGACTGTTTAAGGGACGAGAGGCTAAAAGTGGTGGCCATCTGGCCGATATTTAGACAAGTCTCAACACTCATGGCTGATTTCAGGAACTCCTCACAAAGCTCCACCACAGGCACCATCTGCAGGAAGACAGCAGCACCAAGAACATCCTGAATGCAGTCCAAGTCCAAAGTGACCTCAGAACTGTAGGCAAAATCAATAATGTGCTTCAGTCCTCTGGCTGAAAGACCCTTTAGCTCTATGGTGTTTTGGTTTGACTCCTTCATTCCTCCAGTAAACATGGCTCTGTATGGATCAAGAAGAAAACATTTTACACTTCTGTTCAAACTGTGCAGAAAGAGTCTGCAAATTTTTAAGCTAACCCTAAAGTACAAAAAGTGACTGCTCCCATTTTTAGCAGCCTTGGTTCCGGAAATATATTCCCCAATCATTTTCTAAGTAGGCATTAAAAAAAAAAGAAGAATATTAACTAAATTTAAGGCTTGAACCAAAACATTATAAACTTGATGGATATATTCACACAAGATCATTTGTTTGTCAAAGATGGCTCTTTCAGTGCTTTAAAGGGCGATACATAATCTGAGATACATAATCAGTGATCAACCAGTGATCAACCATCAATCAGAACTCAATACTGTAACGAGCTGCGCAGAGTCGAACACGCTTTCATGTTTTTCACTCTGCTTGAACTTGACAAAATGGCCAGGGGAAAGGTTCATGCGCATATTTAGCCATTCTTTAAAAAGAAGAGATCTGCAATGCCATATTTTTACACAGGAGAACAACTGAGGGACTCATCCATAACTATTACACATAAGGTGCAAACATTCACTGATGCATTTCATATATCATACATTTACTATATGGACAAAAGAATTGGGACACACCTCGTAATTCTTGAATTCAGATGTTTCAATCAGACCCATTATCACAGGAGTACATGAGATATTCTTAAGAGATCAGTGAAGTGTGGTAATGTGCAACATGACTTTTGCGTAAACATACACGCCACTTTCGAGTCAATTGGCGTGTTATCTCTACGCATATTGAGCTATCCGCGTGTATCCACGTGTATTGCGTGTATGTATGTCTACGCTATTAACGTCCGAGTGATTCCGCGACCGCGTGTCTGTACACGCCGACAAATGTCCGCGCGAAACGAAGCAAAATATAGATCTACATCTGGGGAGCGATCTTTTTTTCCCCTAGGATGGTAAGGGAACATTCATAAATGCCATTAACCCCAGTGACGGGTAGGTTTAGGGACGGGGTTGAGGTAAGTCATATATTTATATATACAGTAATAACGTTAAGTCAACGTCGTTCATAAACACGCTGAAAAGCGATTATGCGTGTTGATAGCACGGCAAAAATGGAAATACGAATTGGCGTGTCATACACACGCTACTTCATGAGATCAGTCTGTAATGTGATAAAATGCCACCTTTGCAATAAGTCAGTTTGGGAAATTTCACCCCTGTGAGTTACTCCACGGTCAACTGTAAGTGGTAATATTGGAAAGTGGAAGCGTTGGAGCAGCAGCAACTCAGCCACGGAGCGGAAGACCACATTAAATCACAGAGTGGGGTCACCGAGTGTTGAGGAGCATGGCGCGTAAGTCGTCAATGCTCTGCGGATTTCATAGATGAAGAGTTCCAAACTTCCACTGATATAAATATCAGCACAAACACTGTGCAGCAGGAGCTTCGTGGAATGGGTTTTGAAGGCCGAGCAGCTGCTTGCAAGCTGCCATGCAAGCTGCTTGCTCAAGTACAATGGCAAGCATCAAATGGAATGGCGTAAAGCACGCCGCCACTGGACTCTGCAGCAGTGGAAACATGGAGTGATGAATATTACTGCAGGGGAACATTACTGGTCTGACTGCATTGTGCCAACTATAAAATTTGGTGGAGGAGGGATAGTAGTATGGGGACTGTTTTTCATGGGTTTGGCTAAGCCCTTTACCTTCCAGTGAATGGTAATCGGATTGCTTCAGCATTCCAAGATATTTTAGCCAATGGTGTGCTTTCAACTTTGTTGGAACAGTTTGTGTAGGCCCTTTTCTCTTGCAGCATGACTGTGCCCTAGTGCACAAATGGCGCTTTTCCACTGCTGGTATGGCTCAGGGGTGCGTTTCCCGAAAGCATTGTTAGCCAACTATGGTCGCAAGTTCCGTCGTTACCAATAGAGTTCAATAGAAATTGCGACCAACTTGCGACCAGTGTTGGGCAAGTTACTTTTAAAAAGTAATTAGTTACAGTTACTAGTTACTTCTTCCAAACAGTAACTAAATTAGTAACTCAAATACAAATTTTAAAAAGTAATTAGTTACTTAAGAAAGTAACTATTGCGTTACTTTCAAGTAAAATTACATTTTAAATGCTCAAATGTGACCCCACCTCTACCCCTATTTAACGGAACTTAAAACACATGTGCATGTTCAATTATTTATGAAAAATCTGAATTTTATAATGAAATGGACACTTAATACAATACATTAACAGAAACATGAAACATTGTACACGCATCTAAAAAAAATGTTGCTGTGGGACAAAGTGAGACTAGCCTCAAATCAAATGCCATGTATGTAGATATTATGTTTATATAGTAGATCAATGCAAATAACACAATAGATGTTTTGGAACTTTTGATATTTATTGCCCCTCAACAGGCCACAACTGGGCAAAATTAAATTAAGTTTGTTAAGCTGTTGAGTTATATGTTCTCATTAACTAAATTATTTTATGTTTCTTACTGTTATTTTGTTTTTACTTTATGCTATTTACTGTTACTAAAAATGTGCAAGAGTTCATTGTGCGCATGTGTGAACAAATGGGGACTTTTATTTTGACTCAACTTATGTTCCTTCCTTGAGATGAATGTCGTGCTGCTGCTCCCTCGCTCACTGATGTTATGCCAGCGCATTGAGACGAAAACTAGCAAATAAATAACACTGAGAAATTGTATCTGGATTGTTCTTTAGAGGATGGATGAACGCAATATTGTGCATGGACATGACAGACGGAAATGAAAACTTAACATAAGCAATACCATTTAGAGAAGGCTACTTTTGGATTATTTGGGCTCGTCGGCATACCTGTCTCTCGTTGACTGACTGGCTTGTGTTATTCCTTGTGTCCGTTATTCCTGTCCGACTATGCGTTATGATGGGTCGTTCGCAATTCATGAGCGTTAGCTGATAGTGATGATGGGTCGTTCGCGGAGGAGCGTAGGTGATGATTGATCGACTCGTTCGCGAATGAGCTTTTGATGGGTTGTTCGCGATTCGCGAATGAGCCGACTCTTTTATTTGAACGTCGGGAGCTGGCTCGCATATCTGAAGAGCCGACTCTATTTTTACAAATTTAGCCTATAGAAATTAAATAATTATATAATAAAAAGTGAAATATTATTAATAGTCAAAGTTATTTAAAGAGCCGTTTGTGAGCCAAAAGAGCCGGCTCTTTTCAGAGCTGAGTCAAAAGAGCCGAATGCTCATCACTACTATGTGTGCTTTAGAACACCCGCCCAACTCTACCTCTGATTGGCTTACAGTGACAGTTTACTCTACCTCAGCCAATCGTCAGGATTTATGCGCTTGTCTCGTGCTCAATGGAAGAACAGTAAAAAAGTGTGCCTCTCGCTCAGAGATCTAGTTGGTCTGATGAAAAAAAAAACAGCTTCATCAGTTGTTATAGTAACGGGACGCATTTTTGGCAGTAACGGTAACGGCGTTGTTAAGATGAGAAGAGTAATTAATTAGATTACTCGTTACTGGAAAAAGTAATGCCGTTAGTAACGGCGTTATTTTATAACGCCGTTATTCCCATCACTGCTTGCGACCATAGTTGGCTAACGATGCTTTCGAGAAACGCACCCCAGTACGGTTCGGCTCACCGCGGCACAATTCAGCTCGCTTCGCTTTTCCACTGCGTGGTACGACTCTGCACGGCACGGCTCGGTTCGCTTTAGCTTGGTTGCTTTTCCACTGCATTAAGCACCGCTTCAAAGTGGGTGGGATTAGTTTAAAAGCAGTCACTACAGCGGTGGCTGTTACTAACTATTAGAAACCTAGCGGGTTTGGTTTCTCGCATCGCAAATATAATGATGCTGGTAGTGATGATTTTGACTGACCAATCAGTGATCTGCAGTGTTTCACATCACATTTTAGTATCGGTACGGTACACTTGGAACCTCAACAGACCAGGTACCATTTAAAGCGAGCCGAAGCGAGCCGAAGCAAGCCGTACCGTACCATGCAGTGGAAATGCGCCTTAAGTGAGCTGAGTCGAACCGACCCATACCGTACCATGCAGTGGAAAAGCGCCAAAAGCAAGGTCAATAAAGACATGGTTGTATGGGTTTGGTTTGGAAGAACTTGATGGGCCAAAACAGGGCCCTGAACTCAACCCCATCAAACACCTCTGGGATGAGCTGGAATGGAGATTGCTAGCCAGGCTTCCTCGTCCAACATCAGTGTCTGGCCTCAAATGATCTACTGGATGAATGGGGAAATGTTCCCACAGACACACTCCAAAGATCTTGTGCAAAGCCTTCCCACACGTGGAGTGAGAAAATTCCCAAGAGTGGAAGCTGTTATAGCTGCAAAGGAGTGGCCGACTCCATATTAATGTCTATATTTAGAATGTAATGTTGGAGTAATGGTCAGGTGTCCCGGTATTTTTGTCCATATAATGTATTATATACAGTGCTTGTGGAATTATTCGTACCCCTTAATTTTTTCTATTTTTTTGATTTGTTGTTGCAGCCTAGGGATTGCACAGGCAAGTCAACTTTAATGCTCTACCATGACGCTTTAAGCTTGATGTCGATTAGCCACTCGTGCCTTTGGAGCGCAACAGGAAATCTTTGAAGTCACATTTTACACTCGTATCCAACAGTTAAAAGGACAAATAAATGCATAACAATTATAAAATTGACAGATTCCTAGTGAAGCATAAATTCAATAATAATTTCTTATTGAATTTGGAATATAGGAATCAGTTTACGGAAATGAAGCACCCTTAATGAATCTGATGTATGCGGCCAACAAATGAGACCTCTGGAGGACACAGCCTTTGAAATGAGACATAGCCAAAGTGTATTGATATCCACAACCTTAAAAACAGGTTAAGAGACTGTGATGAATGATTACCCCACAATGTGCAACGGTAAGCAGGTGCAAATGACTTTGAAATACATATAGCACATAGCTATGGGCTATATGCACGCATAAGTTCCGCATTTGACGTAAGGATGCTCGTCCATTTCCGGTTGTGTAGATTAAAGCGGAGGAAAACCGGAGAAAACGGGATTATGGCAGAGTCTTCAATATTTACTGTCCTCCCGTCTTTGAAACGAAACGTACATACGTTTAGATGTAATTTTATATATAGTTATGTTTATTTAATATAATTTTAAAAAGAAGCATAAACACAACGAGGGGTGTCTGTTTTATCTGTTTTTGTGACTAACGTTTCATTAGTATAACCATGGAGTATAAAATTCAATAAATATTCTCGGTATTGCATTGGACTCTATGATCGGCGGAAGTTATCGAGCATCCTTAATCCTTCACCGGAAATAACGCCGTGCATAGAGCCCATTGCTCACATACTAGTTATTATCTCTCTGCATGCCAACTAGGGCTGCACTATAAATCGTTTTAGCATCGATCCATTATAGTCATATTGCAAGATGTGCAATGTCAAGTATAATGATCTGTACGGACCAGGCACCACGGTTCGAAACACACATGATTCTCGGATTAATTGGAAAGTTTAACGATCACAGAGTGAAAGCTTAAGACTTGCACGTGTTATAGCTCCTATTATACAATGCAGAAGGTAAGGAGTGTAAGTTCTCTGATTTTTGTTACAACTATAAACTTTGATAACGAAAAATCTGTATTAGCTTATTATAGCACTCTAATCTTTTAAAATGTAATGTATACATTTGAATGTTTAATGATTTTTAAAAGATAAAAAGATGATGCTGATAGAAAGATGATGATAGATAGATAGATTTACAGATTAGAAAATTGCACATTAAAATTACTGTCCAAAATCCTGAAATTTGCCAATGATAATTAATATATTACAGGTATTTATGCTGCAACCCAGAAAGCCTTTGCTAGCTTTTGTCCATTAAAACCACTATTCATCAGCATGCATTGATTAATCCCATGGCATGTAGAAAAAAAAGAAAAAAGAAGGTGCGACCATATCAAATGCTGGTGCGACCAACTGAGAAAGTTGGTAGCACCAGTTCAACCATTGGAAAAGTTAGTCTGGAGCCCAGGAATCAATCATTTTTTGGGCTTGTGCTCAAATTTGTGGAGTGTGTACACGGCATCACCTCATATTCTGGATCCTTCTTGGTATTTCATTCCGCTTTCAGTGCTTTAATGCCACCAAATGATCTGGTTTGTGTCTCTTTAGTGTTTCATGTGAGCCGCAGCTTAAAACTTGTTAGTCAGCAGCACATTTTCATAACTGAACAAAGAGCAAGACGTATAACTTTTAATCAAACACCTCATGAGATATATTAGGTTTGTGTATTTAATTTATGTCTAAGTTTTGAAACAATCTATGTTAATGTACTCCTTAAAAGAACATTAAAATGTCCTTGATTTTTTGGCATATAAGAGTGTATACCATTAAAATATCCAAGTTTTATAGCTTAAAACAACCTCCTAAGTACAAGATACTGCAACAATATTTTGGTTGAAAGATGAATCAGTCCAACTGTTTTGGATCTGATCTGACAGAAGCTAAATTGCAATTTGCAACTGTAATTAAACTAATGATGCTTTGCCTGTAAATGGTGGTTTTAAATGGATAATGCTCTTGCACTTACTTGCAATATATTTTTTCCCATGCAATTGCGTTAACCAATCACAACAGAAGGGCCAGAATGAGATTTGAAAATAATAATTTTTGTGAATATACAACTTCGTTTTTTTTGTGCAAAAAAAGAAAGAGAAAAAATTGTGAAAAAAGCCCCCCCAAAAAACATTAAATTAATTAAAAAAAAAATCCATGTTATGACCCCTTTAACACTGACAGTCGTTTAATTGGGTCATCAAATAAGACAAGGATTAACCTTGTAACTTGTTTCTCGATTTACAGCTCAGTTGCCTGGTGTTAACAAACTGTGTATATCTCACCTGAAGTAGTCACTGCAGGAGGCCAAAACCGCTTTGTGAACCTCGAAGCGCTCGTTGTCAATGGCCAGAACCACATCCAGCAACTGACCTTGATCACGTAACGCAGACAACCCCCTCAGGAGAGTGCTGCTGTGGCTGGGGGCCGAGAAGGTACAACGGAGCGTGCTATTCTTGTTGTTAGCCATGCTGAAAAAAAAAAGAGAATCAGTTTACAAGGAATTGTATCTCTCACCACTCCCTGATCATTGTCTCTGGCAACACAGCCCATAGAACTTCAGAAGTACCTTGATGAGTTTGCGGTTTCCTGACGCTCCACCAATTGGTCTCAGTTTCTAAACTGACGCATCAACATTAAATTATTCAAAAGAATGGATAAAGAACCTATTTGGATACAGAACCCATTAGCTCCACAACAAGCAGTCAAGGGAGTTTTACTGACTGATCTTGATGGAATCACTTTTGTAACTTTAATAAGGATTCATCTATAGTATTTTTAACAAAAGAAAACCATGCAGAGTTATTTTACATTTGATCACAATTTCCGTTCCTAAAGTTTGTTCAGTTGAATTTATTTAAGCCAATTCGAATGAGTTTATTTGTTCTTATTTTAATACTGACTGTTTACTTGCCTTTAATAATGTTTGAAATGTCTATTACTTAGTCTAGTTGTTTTTGTTCATGGTATTCAGCTGCAATAGAGACAAGCATTTACACTGGCACAAAAAATCCCATCTTTTACTCACATCTGACACAGATTGGAATTTGCTCAACACGAGATCAGATTTTTTCGCATCCGATCTGAGCCACTTCCAATTGTGTTTTTTTATAATCAGATACATATCCATAGAACAAAAATCGGTTGCAGGGTATTGTTAACGTGCTCTAAAATTATAGTTGTTCCCTTACGAAGCCTTGCATCTTATTATGAACAGCAGGTGCTGTGGATGGCTCATAAAATAATAGGAGATGGTACACACCCGTTGCATTTGGACTTTGAGTGGATTTCCCTGGGACGACGTCTAAGGGCAATTAAATGCTCAACAAATCGCTACAAGTTTACTTTTGTGCCTGAAGCAATACGTCAATGTAATAAACTTAGGCGATGTTTTTCTTTCTTTATTTATTTTCTTTATGTATTGAATTGTGCTAAATGTTTTATGTGAGGCAGCATGTGAGCTCAAACTAATTGCCCCACGGGGATTAATAAAGCTCTAAATATATATATATATATATATATATAGCTGCAAGCAGCGATGATGGGCCCAAACCGGTGGCACCGCAACCCCGGTGCCTTTAGTTTTTAAGTTTAAAAAGATACCTACAAAAAGGTGTTTGTACATAATCCTGCCTGTGTAAATGGCTCAAATGGTCACCTTACTCTAATCTGTGACGCACGTTTGTGACTTTTTTCGTGTCATTTGGTTCATTCAACGAACGTAATGAACGAATTGACTCAGGTAAAGATTCGTTCATTTTGATAAATGAGTTCGAACAGGAGAGTCACGAACGCGCATCACAGAACAGAGCAAGACAAGCATGTGAGCTTTATAAAACTTTTTTTTTTTTTTAAATGAGACATCGTTTCACTTGATAAGACCCTTATTCATCGTCCGGTGTGATTTAAAGCCCTTTCAACAGTTTGCAGTTTGCACTGAAACTGTCTTTTGGACCTTGGACCGGTTGGTTCCCATTGAAGTCCATTATATGGAGAAAAATCCTGGAATGTTTTCATCAAAAACCTTAATTTCTTTTCGACTGAAGAAAGAAAGACATGGACATCTTGGATGACATGGGGGTGAGTAAATTAGCAGCAACATTTTTTTAAAAAGTGAACTACTCCTTTAATGAGCAGTAACAGTAAAGGGACTATTGTTGGAGTAGCCTATAATTGTAAAATCATTAAGCTACTCGGGGCCGGATTATCCATAAACGGGATTGGGTGTATCCTATCCATAGACCAGCCATTTGGGGTGACAGTAGGTGCTTGACAGTAGCTTCTGACACGTTCAACCTGAGTTGACCTGAGACCTGAGCCTTTTGCCGAAATCCCTCTTCTCCCTTTTCCCAACACATATGATATGTAAAATTTATACCCTAAAATTAAGGTCTCTAGCATTCCATTTTGCCAACAAACTAAAATCGAAACCGTGAGATGGTTTTGTGCCTTGATAAAACAGCTAAATACTTTAAAAGGTACAATATGCAGGATTTTTCGCCACCAGGGGTCGCTAACCTCTTACAATAACAAAGGTATGACGTATATTCCGGATTAAGCGTAATTATGGATCTTGTCATCAAGCTGATGGATCTTTTATGGATGAGTGAATGAATACATTGATGTTTTTAATATGACTGTGGTGAAGCAGCGCGCAATTGCTGGATGTATACCAGCACCACACGCAACGCAAGTCTCGTAGCTATAAAGGAATAAGGACATTTCATTCTACCGAACTACACGCTGAATTACTCACACAGGCTAGTTTATTAGAGGAATTAAACTTGAGGTAACGCAGCGCTGCTTCACTTGCTCTAACAGTTTCACTCTCACACTAAACAGCATTTGTGTGTATTGAATGTTGTAAGTTAGGTTGTGTGTTGGCTGTATGAGACTAAACTAGATTAACATTAGAGAATAACAAACAGATCATATTCTAACTTTTTATCATGTTAAACTAAATAACATTGATTAGTTTTATGTACATTTGCTCACCTGTCTAATAAAGTAATATGCAACACTCGCGTCTCTGTCAAGTCGAAGAGGTTAGTCGCGGACGTTGAGCTCTCGGCATCTCGAAAAATGTTGATCTTCGTTTTAGTGCTCTTTTTGTCTCAAAGTCTGCTTGCCATGGTCCATAATGTTTGAACAAAACAACAACAGCATGAGCATCCTTCTAGGCATAACGGGCATAACCCAGTTGTCCACGTCTGTCGCCATGGTTACTATTCGAGTACGAGGTCAAACCTGGCGGAAACCGGGGGTAACGCGGATATAACGCAATTGACTGGCGACTCCTCACCCCTGCCCACACGCCCCGTTTCCTTGGTTAAAATCGCAATTAATCGCAATTTATTTATTTTCGCAAGTAATCAACTAAACAAAATATGTAATATTGGCCTAGTGGTTTTTGGATAATTTACTGCAAAAATCCTGCATATTGTACCTTTAAGTAGCCTATATAGGCAGTCTGTTTGTGCAGCGTGATTGAAAGAAAAGTGTGCACTGTGCTCAGCATGGTGATCTGGTGTTTTGTCCAAAATAAAAGGTCATGGCTTTATTTCTTGCAAGTGAAATCAGGACAAAAGTATTGTAATTTTCCTATACTATATAGTGTAATGTAAAATTTACTTTTGAAATATTCAAGTACAGTATACAGTACATTTATAGGCTATATGGATTTTATGTCATAGGAATAATTATATAAATCATTATATTATTATTATAATAATTGTTTGGCATCCTAAAACACCAGTGATAATGTAATGTAGACTGAGACTCTATATCATAACTAAAAAGACGTTTGAGCTCTCTTTAATGTCCAGGTACAAGTCAGTGTTTTTTTCTTTGTTCAATGTGAAACGTTCATGGGTTGAAGCTCTTAATTTTGAACTCTCAAAGTGCACCAGATTGATGCATTTAATCTTAAAATGTACAAAATTTTCTTGCGGGGGAGCATGCCCCCGGACCCCCTCTAGAGGGACAGAGGTCCACATAGTTTTGCAAAATCCTATGGGAAAGAACGATCATTTATGAACTTTACACCGGCATATGCCATAATACAATCAAGTTCCTTTTAAGTCAGTAAAAATGTTAATGCCAAATTAAAATGTCCTTGGACAAACTGCCGAGAGGCCTCTGAATTCTTAATCCGGCCCTGAGGCTACTATGTTCAGTCAAGTAAATGTGTGTGATTCTCATACATTGTACAAGTTAATCATTTGTGCTTTTGTTTCTGTTTATTACAATTTTTGATTTAGTCATTTTAATTTCTACTTTAAAATGGTAAATAAACCAGTTGATTTTTTTGGGGTTTAGAATATAATGTTAATTAACCCTTTTTTGAACAAACAATGTATAGCCTACATTAGATACATTCCCTATATTTGTTTTCATAGCCTTCATATTTCACATTATTTTGAGAATAACATTGGGAAGGATATGAAATAATGGTTAAAAAATTATTCAAAATATAATTCGTGGATTTTTTTAATCTGATTAATCAATGAAATAATCAACATATTCATCGATTAACAAAATAATCATTAGTTGCAGGCCTAATGCACAGTATAAATAATGGGAACTAATTTCAAAATGTGCTAAATATTACCACTCTTAATAAATTATTTGTGTTTTCAAATATTAATCTTTAATGAGTTTTGAAAGGCAATCTAAACATAACACTAGGGGAAAGAGTATGCACAATGACAACTTCCAATTTATATCCAACTGATATGAATAAATGTAAAAAAAACACACACTTGATATCACTTAATTACCAATACAGGACAGATAAAATAAATTCTTACAAAGCTGGTCATGTGATGTCAACATGGCTGCGCCCAAAAGAGGGCAACCCACTCCATGCAGAACAAAAACATTTTTTTTTTCTAGAAAAATTTTGTCTAAAGCCTTTTTCATTTTATATGTTGGGGTCAATATCATTGTAATTATAGTTTTCAAAAGTACTTTTCACTTATTTACGTGTAAAACTTTAACAAAACATCACTGGGTGCACCTAATATTTATTTAAAAAAACGTCTAAATAAAGACTGAATAATAAAACCAATGAATTTAGTTTTCTTTACTAATATTAGCACTTTACCCTGTTGAATTTGTGCAACCTCTCTCTATGCATGCATCAAACGCCTCGTATGCCACAGTTCATGCTACATCCATGCCTACCTGCTTTGAGCTCGATTCACAGAGAACTCCACACCATCTGACTCCGCCATGCTCAGCGAGGATGAGGATGAGGAAGGTCATCATGTGCAGAAGCCCAAATAACCGCTAACCATTCTCAATCTAAATAAAATAGTGAATGCAACACGTCAATGACAAAAACAAAAACAACAACCCATATCATACTTACAGTGTCAAGTGCATTGTCTAACAATGAGTAAGACAATGAGAAGATTAGAAAGAAAAGTAATGAATTCTACTGCATTAATATTGTAGGGCCTGTATACTAGTGTATACAAGTACAGAGTTGTTCAGCTCACCTGCACGCGCCTCTCACCATCTCTGCTCGACCCCGCGGTTTTAGCTGCGCGCTCACGAGTTCCTTCGCATTACATCTGCCCCCAAATGACACAACTAATCAGAATAAAGCACGTGTATTCATGTAAATACATTGTCATGTGGGGATAATGCATTTATACCTAGCCTGGCGAGTTTTTATCATACATAACCTCTCTCACTATTTTCCCAACCCTAAAGCGCAGGTCTTGACGTAAGGGGCGTGGTCACTTCCTTTTCAACACGACATCAAATGACGTCTAATTCATGCGGCCGTCACAGATTCGCACGAGGAAGGTTGTTATCGACTTGGAAAGGATTTTTAAATGCGCTCAAATCAACATTTATACAAATTAGTTTATGTTTTGGACATTTCGTTTTTAAATAAACTTGTTTAAAATGGCCACGTTTGAGTCTATCGGGCTATGTGAGTGGTTGATTCAGCAGTGTAAGCAGATGGGCATCAGCCGACCGACTCCTGTACAGGAGAAATGCATTCCTGCCATATTGGAGGGTAAAGATATATCTGCTTTATAAAAATGGACACATCACGTTCATAGGCTTGCTTTATATAGATCATTAGAAGTATTAATTCGCGAGCACATGTATTCATGGATGGCACAATCAAGAGGTGTCTTTTCCAGACAATAACAACAACAAAAACATAAAAGTATTTATTCTTGGTTTAATAATTTTACTGGAAAGTATTTTGGAGAGGAAATAGTATATGTTTGCTTTTGGCACAATAACTATGCTTATTAGACTATAATATTAATTATTTTTTGTTAGTAAGCTATTCCTTCATGTTTCTATTACTTGCATTTATACAAACCTGTTTTTGTTGTTAACTTTTGTGAACAGAATGACATGTGAGCATGTTTTTGAGTAATCTCATTAATTAATAATATATAATAATCATAATCTTATGGATAATATGTGCCCATTATATCTGTTGCATCTTTATCATGACGGGATCTACATTCTTGCTTTTATGGACAACTACACATTTAAGAAAAATGAAGTAATTGAGACAATCTGGCCTTTCCTTTATAGTTTACGCTCTTTAAACTCAAAACAGATGTCACTGGTGGAAATAAGTTTGTTAATAATAAAGTGTGATTGTGATTTTGCCTGTCATCGGAGGTCATAGTGAACGAAACAGAGTTGTTCTTTATTTTTTAATTCGCTTAATCTGAATTCTGTCTTTCACATAGGTCGGGATTGCATGGGCTGTGCAAAAACTGGAAGTGGAAAAACGGCAGCATTTGTTCTTCCAGTGGTGCAGAAGTTATCTGAGGACCCTTATGGTGTTTTCTGCTTGGTGTTAACACCCACCAGGTTTACTTTTATAATTTGTTGTGATTTTTTTTTTTTTTTTTGCCAGAACATTCAAATCTATATTTACATAAAGATATTTCAAATAGATAGTGAATTTTTCCAATAATGATAACTAGTTTGCCCGATAACCGATTAATCAACCGATATTTTTTAACATGGATGCTGAATTAAAACAAACATAACACATAAAATAGTGCTGAACTTTATTTCAAAAATTGAAAACCATCACTGAACCATGAAAATGTTTTCAAATATAAAACACATTAATAGATTCATTATACCTCGATCTTTCATGTTAGTTCATAGTTCATTAACTAAAGTAAAATCACTTTAAAATGTTTACAAATGCATTAGTTAACATGTATTTATTTGTCTCTTTTCTGTCCAGAGAGCTCGCTTACCAGATCGCAGAACAGTTCAGAGCATTAGGGAAGCCCCTAGGCTTAAAGGACTGTATCATTGTGGGAGGAATGGGTAAGATAATATTCAGAGCTCTACTTTGTCATCCTTAGGGCTCATTTATTCACAAAGCAAAAACAGTGCTTGATGTTTATAGAAAACTGTCATTTATAGAATGCATATTTATTTGTGCTCCTATTATGCTGTTTTAAAGGTTCCTAATTTTGTTTAGGTTTCCTACAATAGGTTTACATGCATCCAGGGTAAAAAACAACAACCTTTAATTAACTCTAATACTAACTCTACATTGCAGCATCACTTCTAGGGCCCTATGAAACCCTTTTTATTTTTTCCCCATATTCATTTTTTTCCGTTTTAATTTTTGCGAATTTTTTTTTTACCCTTGACTTTTATTTTAGTCATACAAAGAGTGTGATTTTTTTTAAAGTTACTGATTAAAATTTATACAAGTAAAATAGGAATGACCTTAAATTTATTGAGGTAACAGACATTTACAGGACAAATACTGCATGATGCAACATAACACTGCACTCTTGAAGAGTATTTTCACCAGACATGCGTTCTTCTCCCACACAAAAATTCAATTTCAAACCAAATATGTAAAATTCCACGAAAAGGCAACAGTGGCAAGGAACCAAAACTCCATCAGGTGACTGAATGGAGGAAAAAAAAACCTTGGGAGAACCCAGGCTCAGTCGGGGGCCAGTTCTCCTCTGGCCAACGAAGGAGCAGTGATTACATAAAAAATTGGATCGAAACATTAAGAGTATTTGTCCATTTCCATCTGTTTGGAAGTCGAAGTAATCACGCCGGTTTGGAGATGAGATGTTTAGGATCAGTGCCGATGGCTGTCGTGTCGATGAGGCCGGCACTTAATGATGAGTCGGGATGGGTCGCTATGCCGTGATCGTGGAAATCATAGGGCCCTACACTTCTTTGTGACTGAAACTGTTTAATTCAGTCTCAAAAACCTGTCCTTTCTCAGAGCCTACTCTACTCTGATTGGTTAGATGGTCCAGTCTGTTTTGATTGGTCTACCGCTTACAACTCATGCTGGAAGTGAAACACTCATTATCATATCTGAATTTCAGCTCCAGAGGCTTCCTCAGCACTCGATACAGTACACAGTGATATGAACAGTATCGATGGTGTTGCTTTTACCGCATCATTTTGAGCCTGAGTCCTCATTCTTTGGAAGTGCATGCAGTGGATTTGCTTTCTCAGCACAGATTATAGCAGCACAGATGTCGACTACACGAACCAAACTCTTCCTGGCCACAGTTTGAGGGCGGGTCAAAGTATGTGTTGTCGGAAGGCCATAGGCTGGCAATATGCAGATTTGTTACAACCCTAAATGGGTTAGAATTAATGACGACTCGTTTCAGGCAGTTCAAATTCGGTTCTTTTTGGTTTGGGAGACGATAAATCTTTACTCCTTTATTGCGCACTTTGATCTTTAAAACTTTGCAGACCTTTTACATTCACGAATCTCTACATTACACACTGCATGAAAGGTATATTTGGGGCACTTTAAGAGACAAAGTTTATTTTATTTTTTTCTTCAATTAGACATGGTCACTCAGGGTTTGGAGTTGTCGAAAAAGCCACATGTTGTTATTGCCACTCCGGGACGACTTGCTGATCACATCCGAAGCTCTGACACAGTTAACCTGAGCAGAATCCAGTTTCTAGTAAGATTTCGATGTATTTTCAAATGGTTGTTTTACCTAAATTCTTAAGCTAATATGTTTTAAAGCAGTTTTCATTGAATCGTTGTGTGTTTCTCTGCAGATCCTGGATGAAGCTGACCGTCTTTTAGAGCAGGGCTGCACTGATTTCACTAAAGATCTAGAGGTCATTCTCAGTGCTGTGCCCGCAAAACGCCAGACGCTGCTGTTTAGTGCCACACTCACAGACACGTTACAGCAGCTGCAGAGCATTGCCATGAACAGGCCCTTCTTCTGGGAGCACAAATCAGAGTAAGTCATGCTCATAAGTGTGTCAGGAGAATGTTTTGAGATGTAAAGGAGAAAATAGGTGTGTTTCGCTTGAAGCTGCGCAGACCGATCATCAAAGTACCTTGAGAGAGATTATGGACGGACGTGCTCGCTCGCGCACACTCGTTTCGGCTTGCGAGGTAACGTTTTGAGTGGATGACGAGCGTGATACGCCGAAATGGATGCCCTAAGATACTGAATGGAAAGTTTACTTTTAAAAAGTTGCCAAATTGTCCCATTAACAAGACTAAGTGATCTGCGTGTTTTGTCGTTGTGAACTGAGCTATCATCGCACCACGTCCGAAACACCACTTGATGATGGCCAAGCAAACACACACACAGCTGATGCGAATTCTCCACCCCCTCACCAATATCAGGACCTCGTCAGTATTTCTTTCACCCTTTTATTGATAGACAGTGTTACATTGTGTGAGAGATTATTTATATATGTTAGTGTGAAATTGAACACTATTCCAATGTTATTTTCAATAATAATAATAATAAAAAAAACATTTGCACTAAACAAGCCAATCCACTTTCCCATGTTGAGCATTAAAATGAGAAAAGAGAATGTAACAGAAAGAAATCAAAAGACATTTAGAATAGATAAAAATGTGCGATTAATCGCGAGTTAGCTATGACATTAATGCGATTAATCGCGATCAAATATTTTAATCGTTAGACAGCACTAGTTTATACATATAAATGTCTATAACTCCAAAAAAAAAAGTGAGAGATCTTCGCCAAATTTGACATGCACATGTACTGGCTCACTCTGAGGACACACACAAAAAAGTGGGATTGTGCCTCTGTCCATGTTGCCTCTGTTGCCGCTATAATAGATAAAAATATGAGATTTCCATTGACTTCAGAGTCATCAGTCGTAGTCATTAGCACAATACATTGAAGGTGATCCAAAAGTTTTGCGGTAGCACCACCTTGTGGTAAAAGTTGTAGCAAAATTTCCAAAAATGTTAACCTTTTTGTAATGACACTGGTCTTAATAGATTCATTGGGTTATGCCAAAAAAATAGACACCAAATCTGCCATATTCAGCCAAACTTCCTGTCTGCCATCTTTATTTTTATTTTTTTAAATCTACTTGTGCTTTGTCTGAAGTATAAAATCATTGGTTACCCATATGCCAATCACATAAAGCAATCATCTCTCTCTCTCCAACTTAAACATCATGGGTTTATGTGGCACTACATATTAGTGACATATAAACCCATATATGACACTAATAATATATATATATATATAATGAATTTCTCATGGAAAGACACTGGATTAAATTACTTTGGATGTTAAAGTATTTTCTCAACTAGGAGAGAGACTTTGTTTGTGGCCAGGTTATGTAATGTAGGCAGTTACGTTGTTATTTGTTATCATAGGCATTAAAGCTGTTCTGAAAAAGGCCTAATATTATTTTTATGATGTATGGCTTTCTCTTGCAGTGTACGGACTGTAGAAGAACTGGATCAGAGATTCATCCTCACTCCTGAGAAAGTCAAAGATGCATACTTGGTCAATCTCATCCAAAAGTTCCAGGATGAACATGATGATTGGTCTATCATAATATTCACTAACACATGCAAGTAAGTTTTCAGTTGCAGAAAAAAGTCATCTACAGGGTTTATCAGTGGTGCTTGGTAAGGCAAATCCCTAAGATGGGCTATGTGTACAACTGTAGTTTCGAACTTCCGCTTTTGTCAGAAGTTGACGTATCAGTTTCCGGTCTACGACTGGTCACCCACATCCACTAATAAACAAAGAAGATGAGTGCTGCTGTTGTACGAAAAAAAGAGTTCTTAAACACATCTAAGTTTCTAAGAACTGTAGTGGATCTAACCTCCGTTTCACACCCGTTTGCAGTGTGTGTTGCGGTGCAGGATCGTGCTGTTAGTGCGTTCACATATTATGATGCGTTTGCACAGTGAATAACTGATCCGCCGCTGTACAACAAACACATACTTAATATTATTATTATTTTTTGCGCGTCGATCAAAATGTCTATTTTGTGCAGCCACTGCTCACGAAGGTTGGTGTTTATCAGGAAGCAGTAGAAGCTCAAATGGCTGTTATTGAAGCAGAGCAAGTGCCGCACAGCAGTTTCCTAACGCACCATGTAAACAGGTTAGGGCTTTCACTTTTCACTGGTGTGGTACATATAACAGCGAATCTATTTCTGCTGTGCTGCAAACGCTGGTGGTCAAAATGATAAAGATTGACCTGAAAATGTAGTAATTTCACCATAAATGCGTTTAATTAAATAAAATGTAGTAATCTCACCATAAATGCACATTTAATCAAGGAAAACTACAATTTACTTCAACCAGGCGACAGAATGAACTCGTCTCGAATCTCGATCGTGGAGGTGGAAAAATAGTGACATGCAAGATCTATTGTTTTAAAATTAAGATGCAAACGAAAAGGCAAGTCGGCTGCTTTTGTCAATTTTTAAGTTTTAATTTAAATTATTTGCGATTTTAATATAGGAAATATTTGACTGAGCAACTTGTAATGCATGGAGTAATAGCACTAACTTACATTATTTAGATTGTGTTTAAACGTGCATACAAAGAATCGCAATGCTGACACAACTTTTTGTTTTTAAAAATAAGTTGCAACATAACTTCTGGACTTTAAATAAAAATATTAAGTATGCGGCGGATCAGTTTTTCACTGTGCAAACGCATCATAATATGTGAACGCACTAACAGCACGCTCCTGCACCGCAACACACACTGCAAACGGGTGTGAAACGGACGTTAGATCCACTACAGTTCTAAGAAACTTAGATGTGTTTAAGAACTCTTTTTTCGTATAACAGCAGCACTCATCTTGTTTGTTTATTAGTGGATGGAGATGACCAGTCGTAGACCGGAAACTGATACGCCGACTTCTGACAAAAGCGGAAGTTCGAAACTACAGTTGTGCACATAGCCTATAAGTATTCAACTTTACATCATAACCAGACTGCATACTGCTACCTCAAAATGTACATCAATCAGACTCGATATTTTACTTGGTGGGCAAATCCCATTGACAAGCATTAAAGGAAGAATCTGAGTCATATCTAAGGGACTCTTTTGAACTGGTTAACCAATTGAACACCCAAATAACCTTCTAGAGATTTACCAGATTGCCATAGCATTATGTTTGCAAGTTTACACAGGCAAGAACCACTCACATTTTCAAAAGAAATTATATAAATCTATAATAATGATAATTTGATCATGTTGATATTGTGGTGTAAATATTCCAGGAACTGCCAAATACTCACAATGATGCTGCGTGAATTCAATTTCCCAACCATCTCTCTGCACTCAATGATGAAGCAGGTAAGTGACACGTTATGTAGTTAAAATTGATTCTCACTCAGTGCCTAATGTCTACTAATGGCTTTTATTTCCCTCCCACCGTTCAGAGACAGCGTTTTGCCAACCTTGCGAAGTTCAAGTCCAACGTCTTTAAAATTCTTATAGCCACAGATGTTGCTGCCAGGTACACATTTCTCAACACACCTCACCATTATTGCTCTTTGCCTTTTTCGAATTTATTCCACTTTCTCGTGTTTTTATGCGTTTTTTTCTGTTCTCATCTGAAGGGGTTTAGATATTCCTACAGTGCAAGTTGTTATTAATCACAACACACCAGGTTTGCCAAAAATCTACATCCACAGAGTGGGACGAACCGCTCGAGCTGGTGAGTTTAGAGCTCTATTAATATAACTAAATGTCAACCCACAGTTAAAAGTGTTGTTATTGTTATTCTTCTCTGGCTTATACCAATAAGCAGACTATTTTAATTTTAGGTCTAATATTCAAATTCTATACTATGTTTCTTTAATATTTATTAAACCTATAAATCATTAATGACTAAAATCAGTCATTTTAAATATTCTAGCATCCTTGTAATATACAGTATAATTAAACATTTTCTTTAAAATAAATCATGAAGTAGTAAAAATTACACATGAAATACAGGGGTTGGACAATGGAACTGACACACTGGCCAATATATTATTGGAGGTTTCGTGCCTATATATGCTGTAAGAGCAGAGTGTTAGCAGAGCTGTACATAAAATATTGCAATACACACAACATAATGGGAGACATATCGAGGAACAAAAGAGGACGAATTGTTGGCTCATCTGTGACCAGGACAGCAAGTCTTTGTGGTGTATCGATAGCTATGGTATTCAGGATAATGTCGGCATACCACCACGCAGGATTTTGGTCGGGACCTCCACAGACTCACCTTTTGTTTGCCAAATATCAGTGTCACTGGTGCCAACAGTGCACATCTTGGGTTGTGGACCTTGGGAAACATGTATTGAGTCCAGACTGAAGCACGGGGTTGGACCACTGATGGTTTGGGCTGCAATATCATGGCATTCCAGTACTGTGCTTGATGTCCGTCACTGCCCAGGACAACCGAACCATTCTGGAGGACAATGAGCAAACTAATTGTTCAAACATTGTACCCTGAAGGGGGTTCTGTGTAGAGCCAGACCGATATATCGGCAGACCGATATTAGGCATTTTCCAAACTATCGGTATCGGCAGTTATAATGGCCGAAAAATGAATTTAAAAAATAAAAACGAACGAAACACGCTTCAACCATGTCATGAGTGTTGGAGTTTTATAGTTTGTCCACCAGAGGGCACTCTACACCGTTCCTGTTGGCAACACTCGTTGAGTTGGTCACAATACATACATTGCTTAAATAACAATTAAAAGAACATCCCCATCAGTTCTCTTAACTCAAATAAGCATGACAAAATTTGTGACTATCATGTCCAGTTTCAAATAAATAAATAAAATATCGGCCGGAATATCGGATTTTAAAACCCAAAAATATTTGTATCGGTATCGGCCTTCAAAATCCTTTATCGGTCGGGCTCTAGTTCTGTGTATCAGCATGATAATGCACCAATTCACAGCCAGGCTTACATTTACATTTATTCATTTAGCAGACGCTTTTATGCAAAGATAAATTGGATATTGCATATACAATATGCAAGTGCTATGACCCTTCCCAGTTTAATCTAACGCAGTACCTGTATTTTTATTTTTTTACAATTTTTCAGGACAGAATGGTTTGATGAACATGAAAGTGAAGTTCTCGTTGCTAGATCTAAATATTTTTAAGCTACTTTGGGCAATTTTGGAGAGGAGCAAGTCAGTATCAAATAGAGACTTGGCCACTGTTTTGGAAGAATGGCTCAAAATCACTGGCCACTGTGAAGGACTTGTATTCCCTGGACAAATTAATGCTGTATAGCATCAATAGCACAGTATACTAAAATATTATTGTTTCATTATCCAAACCCTGTGATATAACATTTACTGTGAATTTCCACTAAACTAAATTATGAACATGACAAAGCGACAATTTTACATATATGCATGGAAAACTGGGATTTTACAAACACTGGGTTAGATGTTGTGTTAGTGTTAGCCATACCAATGACAGATGAATTTGTTCAAAACACCTGTGCGACCCACCAGTTGAAAAACCACTGTGCTGTAATGTTTAATCTCCGACGTGATATAACATCTGCTATGGTCGCTGTACACTTGTTTCACTTTAGGGCTGCATGGTTATTAATAAAAGTGTATGTTGCTATAACAAATACAAATTCAGAATTGGACCGTCTGTTTTATAACGTCCTCTTCCTGTTGTCCAGGCCGAAATGGTGTGTCAATCACTCTAGTCACACAGTATGACATCCACCTCATCACTGCTATTGAGGAACAGACCCGTAAGTTCACAACTAAAACAGATTTTCTCATTTAGAGAGAACTTTACTCTAGAATCTAAATATTCTCTTGTGATAAAAGCAAGTAAATGGACTTTCTATGAAATGACTTGCTGTAAGAGTACGTTTATGATTATTGTTTAGAGGTGAAACTGAAGGAGTATCCTGTTGAAGAGAAAGAGGTGTTGAAGATCCTCACCCAAGTCAACGTAACAAGACGACAGTGTGAAATTGTGAGATTTTTTTTTTCAATATATAGTTTGTATAACACATGCAACCATAATCTTAAAATTGTTAATTCTGTTATAGAAACTGGAGTCCACTGATTTTGATGAGAAAAAGAAGATAAACAAAAGGAAACAGATGATTCTGGAGGGAAAAGTGAGCTGTTTTATCCTAAATGCATGCTTTAAACATATTACACTATCAGAAAAGATTATAGATTATCAAAATATATATATAGAAGTTGGCTTTTCGTTTAGATTTGATGTCAGGATTTTAAAGTACTTGCAGAGTGACTTTGCTTGTGGGTTTTTTTTTTTCTCTCACATTCTTCAGATATTAAATAAATATAATGTATAAGTAAACACATACAAATTAAATCATTTTTTTTTTTATTTGTCCTAAACTACTTTTGTATCAATCACAGGATCCAGATTTGGAAGAAAAAAGGAGAAATGAACTAGATAAGATCAGCAGAAACAAGAAGAAACTGAAAGGAAAAACTCAAGAAAGCCTCCAGAACAAAAAGGAAAAGAAAAAAAACAAAGCAAAAACGACAGAAGTAGACTCTTAACGTGTTCTTGGCATTGTACATTTACATAGGTGTGTATATAACATAAACAAATGTATAAAATATCTCTGATCATTATTTCAAAATAAACTGCATTTTATGAACTATGATGAGTGTTCTTAAATGATTAAACACATTGTAGCCGAGTTTCAGTCGGGGTTTAGATTAAGTCTTAGTTAAATTAGGACATTTTACCGTATTCATTATTTCACCCCATTTTCTGTGAACTTGGGGGTCCCAGATAATAGCCATCATAATTAAAACCCCACCATTGAACCAGATTTAGTTTTTTATTGCTATGAGGGTACTAAAATGGAAAACAAGCAACATATGCTTTACAAAAAGTTGTATTTTGACAAACATCAATAGCAAATGGTTTCAATCACAAACATATAATTAAAAAATGCTACTACTGATTACAACCAAGACCTCATGACATTTCTAGTGAGCATCTTGAGACAAAACTATGGCATTGGCAGGTTTTAAAATGTATTCAGTTGTTTTCATTTTAGTCTGGGACTAGGGGCTCGTTCTTCGTACCTCGCTAACTCAGTTAGCTGGATTTGATTGTTGTCGATTTGGCATGATCTTGGATCGTTTGGTTCTTCGACGCTCATCCTGGACTTGCTGTCATAGCAACAGGTCCGTCAGCTTGAACCTGCTCGCGAGCAGGCTTATTTCATGTAAACAGGATTAGATCGCGGCTGATACGGGAAGTCCTTTAGCGCAGCACGATAGTGTAGCCTAATTTCTGAGATTATTTTTTTTTTCTCGTGAAACGATCGTCGTGAGGGTGTCGTTTATACTTTATTTTGTGGGAAATGCACATTAATGTTCGATTCGATGAGAAATGCATTTTTCCATTATACAGGTGATAACAACAGGATCCTGCATGGAGACAGGTGTTTTATGACCCCATTCCCTGACCCAAACCCCAGACCAGTCATATTACACAACATTGCCAACATCAGAAACATAGAAAAAAAAATTAATTAAGCCTAAAATAAAAGACAAGACAAATTTGCAAAACTCTATTTGCTTAGAGTTTTATTTCAATAGTTCTTTGTAAAGAAAAGCCAGTTATTCAGTCATATTTTAAGGTCAAGAGATATTAAGAGATATTAAGGTCAGCAATAGTACTCTGTGTGAAATAGTGTATTTAAGTCTGAAGTTTATTTTGAAGCAACTCTATTTCTAGTGCAACTTAGTCAAGTTATTTCTCCCCCTGATTTTTATTTTTTCAAAATATTCTATTTTCTGTTGAAGACTCAAATGGGGAACGAATTTCACCCTGTGTCGTTTGTGTCACACATGCAAATGCAACAAATAAAAAGGAAAAGTTGTCTACACTGCCCACCCCTGTATCACTGCTGTGTGCAGACTCTTCTGTAGGCCTTTCTGTACATGTGGACTCCTGTCAGAAATAATAGGCATAGGCACAAGTAGAAATCAATTAAAGCCATCAATTCAATTAAAGTACTTCCTCAAAAGGACAGCCATCTGAAGTTTTCTTCACTCTCAAGTGCAATGTGATTGATAACTCATGGCAAAATATTTTTACATTAACATAAGTTTATCAGTTTTTACTTTCACAAGACAAAGCAATTTATCATTACTCAAGATTTAACAGTTGAAATGACTAAACCAGCCAATTTGCATTATGGGTCTACTTCATTTAATGCAGCAGCAAATTATTTCACAGTGTACAAAGATAATTTAAATCTCATTTCCCAGTGATGTAGGTGTTGCTGCTACTGGTCCCTGATGTGGGTCTGGAAGAGCTGAACCCAGGGATGCCCTTCACAACAGGGCAATTCACATCCAACCCAAGGGTCAGCTCTTCTGCCAGGGTCAGGAGCATCATTATTAGTTTTTTTCTCAGCCTTTTTCCTGTTTGCTTTTATAAACAGACAATCATTTATTTAACAGTGCCTTTTTAAAAGAGACTAGTAGGCCTATAAGGCCTAGTAAAATTACCATTAGGCCTAAGTAGAATATTTTTGTACTTCACTTTCACCATGTCCATTATTATAGTGTGGTGACTCGACATTACAATGAACAAAGTAATTATGAAATTATGAAAATAAAAATAAAATAATAATAATAATAATAAGTTATTAAAACATCTAACATGGCCACCACAAACGCATTTAATTTGTCTTCTACTTTTGCCAGCACTCTCTCCTGGCTTTTGCACACTTTGAGGTGTTCCTGGCGTTTTAATTAAAGACTGAAATTCGGCATAACCTTGCATTAAAAGCGCTTGCTCTGCTTGGGAGAAAAACTGGGCGTTTTCTTTGGCCATGCTGAACAGCCAATAGCAGCGTTGCTGATCACTGGTTCTGCTATCGATACATGTCCCCTTTTAAACCAACGCGAGAACGCGCAGTTATCTCAGATAACTCAATCCAGCGATACTAATCATAAACAACAGGTGTGTTCGAAGAACCCAATTAGCCGGATCATGATTAGCACGATGATATCATCTTGGATGTCTCATTTGATCTCGGATGTTTTAAGCAACGTACGAAGAACGAGCCCCTGCTTTGTACCATTAGGATTTTTTATGCTTCTTGTATTTAGAGACCATAAATATCAGCAGTTTCAAGAAATTCTACATTACCTATATAACATGAGTCGCCGTGCAATATAACTTTATATTAGCACGGCTGTGATTCGGCCGTTGGCAATCGGGCCGATACAACAGTTCGACTGCATAAGTGTAAATAAACAAGAAACAACAATGGAGTGTCTTTAAAACCCCTTTTGTGCAGCATCTTGCCATTCAAATCTCAAGTTGACAGTTTAGCAGTTGAGCCCAACCCTTTGTTACTAATTCTAAAACGCCACTTTTGAACTTGTTACGAAGGAACACTGATTGGCTTCATCGAGGATTATTAAATTATGTAGAGCAGAATATTATGAGAGAGATCAACTAAACTAGGGGATTATCTGCAACACTTGATATTCTTCAGGTTGCATTCATAAGGAAAGCGATATTGTCTTTGTCCTTTTAACAGTTAAAGTGATTAGGTGCCATGCTCTAGGTACAACCTGTTTTTTTTTTCCCATGCCACTTTGATCAATTACCACAGAATTTGTAGAACTCCTAAAGCACTTTTGTACACTCTGTACAGAACTCCATTAGACCCTGGAGATGATGATGTCCTTGCCTTTCTCACAGCATGCTGCACCTCTTTCCACTTGGGTGCACAGTGAATTAATAGGAGGGATGTCTGACGGAATTGACACATGCCTATTCGCATCTATGTTTCTCCTCCAAATATCTCTCCAGCAACCTTAGATGCTTTTAATGTAGAATTCTTCTCACTGATTAATAACTTCTTTAGGAATTTGAATGGGTCTTTACAGAAATTAGTTCTTGCAAAAATTCAAAACGCCACCAAATACAGAAATGCGCTGCAACTAGAACAGATATAGATAAACTCACCCGATGGTCGATGAAATCACCCGCCTGTGACGTCTCGTCTCTCCATTGGACTGATCATACACACGCTTCATGACACAATCACACAGGAGCATTCCCACAGTGTCTTGACGCAGCTCGAGTTCCCTTAAAAAGGGAACTGATGAAGATGTTTTCTTTATTTGCAGGTGTTTTTCTATTTGCATGTGGTTTTTTTTTCAGTTGCACTGTGTTGAGCTCTCTCGGCCACCATAGATAGACCTATATATAAGAATACATGAAAAAGATGAGGTTTGTTTGTTTGTTTGTTTGTTTTTACAGATTGTGCAGGTTTGACATCTACAAGAATGGATTAACTGGACCATGCAAACAGCTAAACCTTAGTGACTCTGAGCACATGAATTCAAAGCTCATATTTTATTGAAAAGAGTCCAAATTGTATCTACAAGAGATAAAACAATTAACAAATAATTCAATAAATAAACATTCTCTATTTTGTCATTGGTTTGATAGGAATGTATTTTTGTTGAATATCAAGTCTTATTAATGTGAATACTCATTCTTAGTGTTGGACTTTAATCCAAAACAGAAGCAGATACACATGTACACTGATGTAATAAGATAATTCACACTGATGAAGAATGTGTGCTTGCATATCCACCATCAACTTGTCAGGAATGATACTGCGTTCAGTTTATTAAAGATTAACAGGGATGCCAAGCTTTGTTGATTCACCTTGAACATAATGAGTTCATGTAAAATTGCAGCAGCAAAAACAGCTTTCCTTTCATAGTCAAAATTTTTTAACAATCTCGTATTCATGAATCTCGTATTCATGACGTAGATGAATTGTGATCATGAACTGCTGGGTTGTTGACCTCAGTAGAGGAATGAAAAACATGGACTCGAAAACATTGTGTGTGACAATACTGAGTTACAGGAGTGACAAGGCTTGTGGGTTTTCAGAGAGCCCATATTTCAAACAACAATGCATGTCCATCACTAACAAAAATGAGTGCTACTTTATTATAATACCTCATAATGTAATCAAAGCAACTCAAAGGTTGTGAATGCTATTGACAAGACTAAAAATACTGCCATTGATTGAGTTCACCATGTCAAGTTGGTGACAAATGCAACACGTCTATACATTTTACACTGAATTATACAGCTTTTTTTTGAGTTGTGTTCTACAGCAGTTGCAATTTCTCAAACATCAGCAACTGAAATATATCAAATACTTATGACTTAGTAAATGCATTTATTTACAAATAGGTTTGACTGGAGTTATCCTGTGCATGCAGATTAGATGAGTGGTTCAACGCTGTGTGATTTAAAGCGCCATCTTTTTATGGATAACAACCATTTTGACAATTAAACAATATCTCAAGCAGAGTGTTGTTTCAAATCACAAGGGAATCACAGCTTTGCTGATTTTCAGACCATCAGCATGACTGTGAAAATGGTATGATTTTATGTAACAGTTCCATAAATAAGAAGTTTGATTAAGTTTGGTTTTATAGACAAATAGTGTATGTATTTTTTGCTCTGCCACTGGAAATTCAAACAAAGCCAAAGCAGAATCAACTGTTCAACCGAATCAAACACAACAGTGGCGTTGCATTACTGAATGAATCAACCTTGAACAAATCAATGTGAATGAGTGAATGTTTAAATG